TCCCTCGATCCTGACTAGTCTCCCAGTTCCCTAATCTTTCCCTCAAGCCTGACTAGTCTCCCAGTTCCTCATCTTTCCCTCGATCCTGACTAGTCTCCAAGTTCCTCATCTTTCCCTCGATCCTGACTAGTCTCCCAGTTCCTCATATTTCCCTCAATCCTGACTAGTCTCCCAGTTTCCTTTCCCTCGATCCTGACTAGTCTCCCAGTTCCTTATCTTTCCCTCGATCCTGACTAGTCTCCCGGTTCCCTTATCCTCGATCCTGACTAGTCTCCCAGTTCCTCATATTTCCTTCAACCCTGACTAGTCTCCCGGTTCCCTTTCCCTCAACCCTGACTAGTCTCCCAGTTCCTCATATTTCCTTCAACCCTGACTAGTCTCCCGGTTCCCTTATCCTCGATCCTGACTAGTCTCCCAGTTCCCTAATCTTTCCCTCAACCCTGACTAGTCTCCCGGTTCCCTTTCCCTCAATCCTGACTAGTCTCCCGGTTCTCTTTTCCTCTATCCTGACTAGTCTCCCAGTTCCTCATCTTTCCCTCCGTCCTGACTAGTGGAGTTCTGCAGAGATGGTTGTTCTTCTGGAAGGTTCTCCTCTCTCCACAGAGAAACGCTGGAGCTCTGTCAGAGTGACCATGGGGTTCTGTGTCTCCTCCCTGACTGAGGCTCTTATCCTCTGATCGCTCCGCTCCAGGAAGAGTCCTGGTGGTTCCACGCTTCTTCCATTTACAGATGATGGAGTCCACTGTGCTCAGTGGGACCTTGGGAGTCACGTTTGATTATATTTATTGTAACACCACCTCTCAACAATGTGTGTGTGTGGGTTGACAGGTGAGCTGGACTACAGCAGTGTTTTACTGGGAATGCTGGTCATGCAGGACGTGCAGCTTGGCCTGTTCATCGCGGTCATGCCCACATTCATTCAGGGAGGAACTGGAGACACGGACAGGTGAATAATTATATTTATTTATTTTTTATTATGCAGCAGTAACAAATAAAAAATAAAAACAATAGAAAACAGTAATGAACAATAATAGACAGGTGAAGGCGAATCACGGACCTCGCTGGGACACTGTAGACCTCGCATCATATCAGTGTTGAAAACCGTTGTGCTGCTTCATATTTGTTGAAACCATATTCTTTTCAGGATTCTATGATAAACGTAACAGCTTTAATTTGAGATAAAATCTTTTGCAACATTATAAACGTGACTCTTGATGAGTTGAAGTGTGTGTGTCCCAGTGTGCTGATGGGATTGATGAGCTGAAGTGTGTGTGTGTGTGTGTGTGTCCCAGTGTGCTGATGGGAGCTCTACATGTTCTGGTTCTGCTGGCTCGGGTTCTGGTGTCTCTGGCCGGTGTGCTGATGATGTGTTGGATCCTGCGCTCGCATCTGATTGGCCCGTTCTACAGGAAGCTTCATGCGGAGAGCAAAGGGAACAAGGAGATCCTAGTGCTGGGAACCAGTGCCTTTGTGTTCCTGATGCTGACCGTGAGTCTCTCTCTCTCTCTCTCTCTCCTCTCTCTCACTCACACACACACACACACACACCTACCTGAAGGGGTTTATTCTGAGATAACAACAGGCTGGATCAGAATCAAGTTTACCACAGAGCCGTGTAATAATCTGCGGTATGTTCCAGGTGACCGAGTTCATGGACGTGTCGATGGAGTTGGGATGTTTCCTAGCAGGAGCGCTGCTCTCGTCACAAGGTCACATGGTCACCACTGAGGTCATGAGCTGCGCCGAACCAATCAGAGACTTCCTGGCCATCATCTTCTTCGCATCTATTGGTGAGCGGCCGGTCCTGGAGCTGAGAATTATGGGATATTAGCAGGAAATCTCAGAATCCAGTCATAAATATGCGGACTTTATTGCTATCGAAGGCAGGTTTATAAATACATAATCAAATACAACCAAACTCTGATGGAAGTGTCTGGTGGCCGTATGTGTGTGTGTGTGTGTGTGTGTTGTCCGCAGGGCTGCACGTGTTCCCGACCTTCGTCCTGTACGAGCTCACCATTCTGCTAGTCCTGACCTTCTCGCTGGTCATCATGAAGGTATTTTTGTTCACATGACACTGATTTCCTGAGCGTGAGCATAATCATGAGTCTCGCTGTGGTTCTGCTCTCAGTTCCTGATGGCGGTTCTGGTTCTGTCGGCCGCGCTCCCGCCGGGCTCTCGGCACATGCGCTGGCTGGTGTCGGCAGGACTGGCTCAGGTCAGCGAGTTCTCCTTCGTCCTGGGCAGTCGCGCGCGCCGGGCCGGCATCATCTCTCGAGAGGTCAGTGTGTGTCCGCTACTCCCAGAATGCCCTGCTGTTTAAACCAGCATGAAAGGGGCTAATCTGGACAGGGTGTGCATGTGCGCCGCCAGCGCTTCACAGATTAGCGGTTTTTAAGTTTACATGGAGGTGATCACGTTTTTCAACGCTTGCACTTGAAACCTGTTTTAAAGTGTGTGTTCTCGAGCTCAAACACTGTGTGTGTGTGTATAAACGGAGAGAACAGACTTCTGTGTTCTGTAGAGCGGTGTCGTGTTAGCGGCCGCTAATTTAATAATTGATGATCTTTACAACAGAAGTGAATCAATCAAAACTAACTTTATTTGGACATTAACTTTATTCTAGATCTGCTCTCTGTGACTGTAATCTCCTGTTAGCACTGTAAAGCTGCTGTGAGACTCTATAGTGTTAAAGCGCTGGATAGATGGAGGAGACGCGAGTGTGTGTCGCTGGATAGATGGAGGAGACGTCGCTGTTATTCTGAGTGCAGATTGTACAGTAATAGACCTTGCTCTCCTCCTCTTCCTCACAGGTGTATCTGCTGGTCCTCAGCGTCACCACACTCAGCCTCCTCCTGGCTCCGGTGTTGTGGAGAGCCGCTACGATCCGATGCATCCCGCGACCCGACACTTACCACTCACCTGAGACTCTCCGGAGACACTCACGTCAAACTAATGCATCATATTGATGCATACTGACTTAGAAACACAAGGGCAGATGATCAAGTACAGCTTTAAAGCATCAGTTCACTTCAGAATTAAAATTTCCGTTGGACCCCACCCCAGTGATGTCACTATATAGAGAAACCCTGGAATGTGCTCTTCAAAAACTTTCATTTCTTCTCGAATGAAGAAAGAAAGACGTGAGCATCTTGGATGACGTGTGGGAGAGTAAACTATCAGGAGATTTTAATTCTGAAGTGAACTGATCCTGTAATATATTCACACACAACTTTTCTAATGTATTTATGTCTGCTATAATATGTTCTGTATGACCAAACGTTATTTATTAGTGTAATGCGTGCCTTGAAACGATCCGATGTGAAGCGGTTTTGTGTTAAACTCTTGCTCACGGTGGCGGCCTCACGTTTCTCACAGATGAACCGAATCATGAATCATTCCTCGGGACTGTTGATTCTCTAGGAGCAAAACATGCCATTAAAATCTTCACTTCAGTGTGTTTGTGTTTCTGGTGTGTGCAATGACTTAACCACAGGCGTTTAGTGGGTTCACAATCATTATGAAATAAAAAGTCTAAATTAAATTTTAGGGTCATTAATTCCAACTTTTTATCTCTTAAATGACTTAGTATGTCATAATTAAATTTTAAGACGCTCATTTTTACTGTCATTTCACCTTTTAATCTCATATTATGTATGACTTCTCTAATAATAATGATTACTAGTAAATTATTATTAAGTATGAGTAAGTAATAATGAGAAATACCATTATGAACATATTAATTGAATTGAACAATTGAATTTTAATGTCATAATTTCAGTTTTTTTAATCTCAAAATTATTCTACATTTCATAAGGACTTAGAATGTTCAGACATCTTATATTTATGACTTAGTATGTCATAATCAGATTTTATCGTCATAATTTTTACTTTGTAATAATTAAAAAAATGTTAATGTCATAATTTTGCCTTATCTCTAATTACTTAGAATGTTCGTAACTACTACTTTCCCCCTAATATTTAGGACTTGCATTATATAATTAATCTTAATTATTGTTTTGGTCATAATTTTGACTCTTTTGGTTGTTTTCATAATTTAGATTTACCAAAGCATGATTTGTTTTTGTTCAGTGTTGCAGAAAGGCGAAGCCAGGCGTGGCCTACTCTCTCATCGAGTCAACATTATGGTCAAACTGGTTTTAAATGCCTTTCATCCAGCAGTGTAAATGTCAACCTGCATTTTAAAAATGCCATAATGCTGGATCTGTGTGTGTGTGTGTGTGTGTGTGTGTGTGTGTGTGAGTTACAGACATGTTTCCACATGCCTAATGCTACCTTCACGTGCTCGGGAAACTTCCCACTTCTGAAGTCGCGATTACGAGCTTGAGAAGAGCGTTCATGTCCAATAACTCGGAAACTATTGACGATAGCACGTGAAGGCAGTAGAATAATATCAGACCACAGAAATAGAGACTTAACCAGGTCAGTAACGACAGGGGCGTGTTATTAACATACAGATAATTATCATTACATCCATAACTAAATTGAGCTTTGATTTATATACAGGCTTCTTGAGTAAAATTGATAGCTTAATAATTAACAACAAATGCAAAGTTCTGACCGAATGGTGTGCGAGTCGCGAATAAATCGTTCTGTTAATGATTCTTTCGAATCGGTTCCCTAACCCTAAACACCTGACTGTGGCCTTATCCAACCATATCTTAACATGATCAAACACAAATTATTATTAGGTGTCCTTCACACTGATTTAGCTTTCAGACTCTTTTTTGCCATTTTGAGTTTAATACGGATATACTGTTATGTTAATAACACCTTTATTGTAATTAAAACATTTAATTCTTAAATGAGCTTCATTAGCATGTGTAATCACAATGTTGCCAAAGCATTGCAATAACTAGTAACTGTGGGGAAAACTTGATGACTCGAGTGAATCACTGTTTCGTTTATGAACCGATTCGGTGAGATGACTCGGGTTTCCCAGTGGAGTTGTGAATGCGCGCTGACGTCACACCGCGTGTATCCAATCAGGGCGCGCGTTCACGGGAGGCCGCCAAGCTCAGTTTGACTGACTGCTGTGTGTGTAATAGCTGAAGTAGCTCGCACATAAACACACACTTTTATCAAACTAACTGTGAATATCAGCGCGAGATATGACGCGGATGTGAGCGGGATAGTTAAGGTAAGAGGAATCAGCGTATGTTGGGTGGTTTGCGGGTGTGTGTGAGGTAAGTGGAAGCGTTAGCGCGCTAGGTTAGGTTAGCTTAGCGTTAGCAGCGTCGAGCTAACGCGAACAGCAGCGCGAGATTCGCGTCGCTCTCCGAACAGAAGCTGCTCATCCGAACAGCCCTTTTTTATAAGTTTTTAACCATTACATAATTACGTAAAAATTATGACAGCCTCTTTTAAATGTGTCATAATTATGATTTTTGTTTATGTGAATAAAACATAATAAATAAGATTTACTAAAGTATATTTTTCTAATGTGGTGGAAACGGACTTCCATAATTAAGCTCAGAAAAGTGCAACTTCTTTTTGTTGTTTTCATAAATATTAATCTTAGTCCAATAAACATTGACTTGAGCTAATTAAACATGCTTCATGTAAGTTAATAATAATAATATCTGACTGTAATCTTGAATCAGAATAACTTGAACTGTGATGACGTGTTTACTGGCGCAAGGGCGGGGCTTTAACCTGTCACTCACATGAAATCAACCAGTAGCAAACCACAACCATCCAATCAATTCCCCACAGACACAATCAAGTGTGTTCTTGTTCCAGAAGATATTCGACACAGTAGAGGAGAGAGACCAGTGTAACGCCACTGTCATGACGAGTTCATCATCTGTGTTTTGTGTTTCAGCAGAACTGCCGTCTCAGAACGAAGACTGGCCACACACTCCGCTCTCCATCATGGCTAACGATGTAAGAAACACACTTCACAGTATTAGACACACACACACGTCTATTGTATCCCTTATTTCCTTGTCCAGACTAGTTGACGGTTATATTTTACATATCTCGTTTGTATTGAGGTTCCCCGCGGAATCAGTAAACTCTCGTGTACTGATGGATGATTTGATGAGTCATTCCTGCTGGAAATGCATGTGCTGATATTTAGGGATGCACGGACATTAAAATAACACAATTTAATATTATTAAACACAAGTCATGTTGATGTAATAATTCCAGCCGATTCTAATCTGATAGAAGCTGTTTTATAAGATCATAATCTCTCTGTCTCTGTCCTCAGGCTGGACTCAAAGAAACTAATGGAGAGATGAAGCTGTTTGTCAACCAGACTCCGAGTCCGGGGAAGCGTGAGTACACCCTGAGCCCAGTGCATGATGGGTAACGGCTGCCAGGGTTCGTAGATCAGCGTCTGTCAGTTACCTGAGAACATAGACGTCTGAGCTCTGGAATTAACATTCACATCACAATAAACTGTGTGGTCTAAACATTATTTCTGTTAATGTGCGATTAATGCGCTAGAGTCACTGACTGACCCTGTGAAGTCACATCGACGACATCACTGGCCAAAATATGGTTTAATATCTTTTATCAGGGATGCATTAGGTTGATCAAAAGTGACGTTTAATTAAAAATAATGTTTGATTTTTCTTCATATGATCTAACTAGTCGACAGCTACTCAAACACTTCAATGTGAGTAAAAAATAATATTAATATATTATAGTAATATAATATTACAATATAATGCAATTATTGATGTGTATATACGCTTTTACTGGTAATAATGTGATGAAACTATATACTACTGTTCTGTGATTAAATAATAAATAAAAAAACTTTTATTCATCAGGCGCATTAATTTGATCCAAAGTGGCTTTTATAATGTTACAAAATATTTATTTCTAATAAATGCTGTTCTTTTGAACTTCCTATTCATCAAAGAATCATTAATATATATATATATATATATATCACAGTTTCCTCTAAAATATGAACTGTGTTCAACACTGATAATAATCATAAATGTTTCTTGATCATCAGATCCTCATATTAGAGTGATTAATGATGATAATCTCAGCTTTGATCACAGGAATAAATTACTCAAATTACTGTATATTCACATAGAAAACTGATGATTTACATTATAATAATATTTGATATATTTTCACTGAGAATCGTTCACATTGGAAATGTCACTGACCCAAACTTTTAAATTGTAATCTCTGTAAAGCTCGTAAACATCCCTGGATCAGTGATGTCAGCTGCACTCCTGTGTGTGTGTGTGTGTGCTGCAGCTGCAGGTGTGCTGTCGTTCCTGACCGTTCATCCGGCGTCCATCTCTGCGGTCAAGCAGATCCTGCCTAAAACACTCACCGGCGCTCATGTGCTGCCACATGTGGTGAGTCTCCAGTCACACACACACACACACACACACACACTGCATGTGGTAAGAGTCTCTCAGTCATACGCACGCTGTTACACATCTTTCCCTCGCGGGTCAAAATGACCCGAAGCCCTGAAACGAGACTTCTTCTTTTTGTCCTGTCCAGATTCAGAAAGCTTATTTTATTTCATTTTTGATAATATTATTTCAAATTTTTGTATGCGTTTTATTTTGAGATTTATTTTATTTACCCTTTAAATGACTAGATTTGATCAATAAATAATAAATAAATATTAATTTAAGCACATTCCTCACATTCTTAGATTCAAAATAACTCACGATTTCATGCGTAACTCAATTGAGCTGTAAATATCTTCCATCGGGAGTCTGTGAGCTCTTGTGGAATATAATAATAACACATGATATTTCATGCTACGGAGGCGTATTGCATTCACATGAAGAAAAAAAATCTACTCTGTTTTTCTGAATTAACGAGTTAATTTTTCATGAGAAATTTTTTTTTTGCTCTGTTTTTCTGAATTAATGAGTTAATTTTTCATGAGAAAAAAAGTTTTTCTCTGTTTTTCTGAATTAATGAGTTAATTTTTCATGAGAAATTTTTTTGCTCTGTTTTTCTGAATTAATGAGTTAATTTTTCATGAGAAAAAAAGTTTTTCTCTGTTTTTCTGAATTAATGAGTTAATTTTTCATGAGAAAATTTTTTTTTCTCTGTTTTTTTGAATTAATGAGTTAATTTTTCGTGAGAAAAAAGTTTTTGCTCTGTTTTTTCTGAATTAATGAGTTAATTCAGAAAAACAGAGCAAAAAAAAAATCCATGAAAAATTAACTCATTAATTCAGAAAAACAGAGCAAAAATGTTTTTTTCTCATGAAAAAGTAACTCGTTAATTCAGAAAAACAGAGTAGATTTTTTTTCCTCCGTATCATGCCTCTAGATGGGCTTATATTTCTCTTCAGTGTGCGCTCACACACACACACACACACACAGTCATCTTCAAGTGTGTGGAGTCCTCGACTCTTTTTAATCGTTTAAAAAACAAAAAATGAGTGTCTGGTCAAAGTGCCCCGAGGGAAGGGTGAGTTAACGAAGCAGTCACATGACCACACTCGCTGGCCCCGCCCACTGGGTCTCAGTGGCGTAAAGCCCTCCATTAACATTGTGTGAGGTGACCCGTGAGAGTGTGTAAGCGGATCACAGAACACTGGAGTCAGCGGGATTAGCCTCCTCTTCATCATCATCATCCTCTTACTGACAGCGACACACACTCGTCTGTGGAAACCAGCACAGCCGCAGAATACACTCACTTGTGATTGTGATATTGTGAATGTTCTGATCCAGTCTGACCTGTAGTGCCTGAATCATAATCATAATCACACACTGTCTGGATTGTGTGTTCCCGCAGGTGATGGGAACCCCTCAGAGGACGGTCCTGATACCCGACCCGCGCTCGCCCCACACACACTTCCACACGCCGCAGACCCAGAACACACTCGAGTGCTCGCCCTGGTCCGCGGGGTGAGTTTCCCCTCAGAGTCTGATGATCCTGTCACGAGCCACACTGGAAACACACTCGAAACTGGTTTGATGCAAGATCAGGCCAAACGCCTGTGATTCTGTGTCAGCATGTCTTTAAAATAGAATTAAAAATTATTAAAAACTGAAAAAAAAAAATTATTATCACTAAATAAAAAGTTACTTATTTGTATTATTTAAAGTATTTAATGTTAAGTTAGTGTAAAAAAAACACACAAAAAATATTTAAATTGTAAAAAAAAAAGTACAATACACTAATATTTATTTAATTTTCAAACAAACAAAAATAGAAATCCCGGTTTGCTGTGGTTGATTGTATCAGTATGTCTATAAAATAGCATAAAAATTGTATAAAAATATATTATTATTATATATCAATATGACTATAAATTAATACTTGTATATTATATTATTGCTAAATATATATATATATATTTTTAATGACTAAATAAGCAAAAAAATAAAAACTATTGAAATATTTCTCTTTAAAATAAACAAAATGAGTCGTGCCGCCTGGTCTCGCCCTCATGGGATCATCAGGGTTCTCACGACTCATGAATATCCCACTGGTGTCCCACAATGCAAATGGAAACGAACGAGCTTGTTCCCTGTAAGAGAGATGTGATCGTATTGATTCAAACCTCCATGTTTCGGTAATGTCGCCGCTCTAATGTCTCCTTCGTCTGTTTCCGGACCGTAAAAGGAGAATCTTTAAAAACATCCCGGTAACACTTTACAATAAGGTTCATTAGTTAACATTAGTAAATGTATTTACTAACATGCACTAACCATGAGCAATACATTTGTTACTGCATTTGTTCATCATTTGTTCATGTTAGCTCACGGTGCATTAATTAATGTTAGCAAGATTTTAATCAAGTATTAGTAAATGTTGAAAATAACGTTAACAAAGATTAACAAATGCTGTATATGTGCTATTCATTATTAGTTCATATTAACTAATGTAGTTAACTAATATTAACTAACGAACCTTATTGTAAAGTGTTACCAACATCCCGTTTAAAGTGCGAGCGGGACGGTTCGTATAAATCCTGCTTTTGTGCTCCGAGAAAGAAAGAATGCAGCCAAAGATAGTTTACAGTGAACATTACTATTTACCTCACATTCAGAGTCTTTGGTTCATTTGTCATGTGACCCCATCACGTGTTGTTGACCCTGTGATCTGCGTCAGGAGCTCGTCCGGCAGGCGCAGCAGGAAAGGCGATAAGAGCGGGAAGGGTTTGAGGCATTTCTCCATGAAAGTGTGTGAGAAGGTGCAGAAGAAAGGGGTCACGACCTACAACGAGGTGGCCGACGAGCTGGTGACGGAGTTCAGCTCCGGGGACACACACATCTCCCTGAACGAGGCGGTCAGTCACACACACACATGATCATACGGCGCCATCTTTAAAGAACGATCGACTTTTACGTACACCATGTGACCTGTGAATGTGCAAATGTGCCTGTGTGATTGGTCCTCCAGCACGTGTACGATCAGAAGAACATCCGCAGACGGGTTTACGACGCGCTCAACGTCCTGATGGCCATGAACATCATCTCCAAAGACAAGAAGGAGATCAAGTGGATCGGGTTCCCCACCAACTCGGCGCAGGAGTGTGAGGATCTGGAGGTCAGTCTCTGAAGCCACATGTGCATTCTCATCTGGGAGTCGAACCCATGACTGTGGTGTTGCAAGCGCCGATGCCAATGAGTGTGTGTGTCATCTGTGTGTGTGTCATCTGTGTGTGTGCTGAAGGTGGAGCGGCAGAGGCGACTCGAGAGAATCAAACACAAACAGTCTCAGCTGCAGGAGCTCATTATGCAGGTACACCGCATCACTTCCTGTCTGTCAGAACTCTGCTTTATAGATGCATATATATTACTTTGTGTATATGTAAATACACACACATGAATGTATATTTTGTATATATATATATTTATATATATATATATGAAGAGTTCAGATGCAAAAGCCTCTAAATGCCATTTGAAATTTTCTTCTAGAATGATCATTTTTATCAAGCTTGTATATTTAAGTTCAGTGATTTCACTTAAATGGCAATGATAATTACCTATTAATTGTTATTTAAGTGAAATTACTGAACTTAAATATACAAGCTTGATAAAAATCATCATTAAAGAAGAAAATTTCAAATGGCATTTAGAGGCTTTTGCATCTGAACTCTTCATATATATATATAGAAAATGTATTTATGTATATATGTATAAATAAATAAATATATAAAATGTATACATGCATTTGTGTATTTATATATACAAAATAATTATACACAGCACACACATACACATATTATGTAAACACAAACTTTTATTTTGAATATATATATATATATATATTGCTGTTAAGGATTTCACAAAAAAAAAACTCTGATATTTTGATCACATTTAAGCCCCAAAATAAAAATAAAAACCAATAATAAATAAACTAATAATCTAATTGAATCCCTAATTGTTTATTACAGGTGTCTTATTTAAAATGTGAAGAATGATTTTATGTATACGTGTGTGTGTGTGTGTGTGTATATATATATATATATATTTTTTTATTTTTTTAAATAAAACTAAGTCTTTGTATTTTCTATTGATTTTCTCATATAAATGAATGGGCAACTATGGAAAAAAATGGTTTGCTTTTCCGTGCTCCTGATGATGATGATGATGATGATTCCTGTAAGTCTCGTTTCTCCTGATTTCCAGCAAATCGCGTTCAAGAACCTGGTGCAGCGCAACCGTCAGGCGGAGCGTCAGAGCAAGAGCTCTCCGTCTCCAAACACAGTCATCAGCCTGCCCTTCATCATCATCAACACCAGCAAGAGGACCGTCATCGACTGCAGCATCTCCAACGACAAGTGCGTGCGTGTGTGTGTGTGTGTGTGAGCTCGGCCCGCTCTGACGCTCGTGTCTCCGCAGGTTCGAGTACCTGTTTAACTTCGACAACATGTTTGAGATCCACGATGACGTGGAGGTTCTGAAGCGCATGGGTCTGGCGTTCGGCCTGGAGTCGGGTCGCTGTAACCCGGAGCAGCTGAAGATCGCCAGAACCCTCGTTCCCAAAGCCATGCAGCCGTACCTCACAGGTCAGAGTGTGTGTGTGTGTGTGTGTATGTGTGAGAGAGAGTGTGTGTGTGTGCTGAACTTCATGAGTGTTTATCTGTTGTAGAGATGGCGCAGGGTGCCGTTAACCAGCCGATCGGGAAGCTTTCCCATGTGGCCACGTGAGTATCACATGATGTTTTTGAGTCGATCAGTGTTTTATTGACGAGTGTGTGTGTGGTGTAAGTGAACATGAGCTGTTCTGATCCGTCAGAGACCGAGGCCCGTCCAGCTCAAACGGGTCCCGAAACGAGACGCCATCATCACACATGGAGGATGAAGAAGATGAAGACGAGGAAGAAGACTTTGATGAAGATGAGGAGGAGGAGGAGGAGGATGATGATTAGTTTGCTTCAGCTCCAGAACCGGTGATATTATGCAGATTCCCTTTGGTTTGCCCAGTTCTTGTTTGAAACTCAATATTGTGATCCTGCTGTGAGGATTCCTCAAATGCTTCCCATAATTCTGCAGCTCAGTGTGTGATCAGCTTATAGCAGCTGAGCTCCTCTGATCGTCTTGGGCTGTTCCTGCAGAACTCACAGTTACAGAGGCTCTCCCACTGGGGGCTGAGGGGAGCTGTGTTGTGATGTCATAGGCAGCTATTTTTGATATATCGGGGCGTTTGGCGTGAGCTTTGACCTCGAGAACATGAGATCACAACTCAAACGTCCAGACCTTTTTGTACAATGTAACAAATACTAAAGAAAATATAGATTTCTTATTCATGTATAGATATTAAACCGAACGTATGATTTATATGCGTGTGTGGTTCTTTGTGCTCTCTGTGAAAAAATGTATAATCTATGGAAGCTTGTTTCCGCATCAGAATAAAAAATAGAAAAGGTAACTGCAACTTTCATCTCACAATTCTGACTATATCTCGCAATTCTGACTATATCTCGCAATTCTGACTATATATCTCATTATTCTGATTTTATAACTTGCAACTTTATATCTCGCAATTCTGACTATTTTTCGCAATTCTGACTTTATATCTCGTAATTGTGACTAGATTTCGCAATTCTGACTTTATATCTCGTAATTCTGACTATTTCGCAATTCTGACTATATTTCGCAATTCTGACTTTATATCTCGCAATTCTGACTAAATTGTATAATTCTGACTTTATATCTCGTAATTCTGACTATATTTCGCAATTCTGACTTTTTATCTCGCAATTCTGACTTTATATCTTGTAATTGTGATTAGATTTCGCAATTCTGACTTTATATCTCGTAATTCTGACTATTTCGCAATTCTGACTTTATATCTCGCAATTCTGACTAAATTTCGTAATTCTGACTTTATATCTCGCAATTCTGACTATATCTCGTAATTTTGACTATATTTCGCAATTCTGACTTTTTATCTCGCAATTCTGACTATTTTTCGCAATTCTGACTTTATATCTCATAATTGTTATTAGATTTCGCAATTCTGACTTTATATCTCGTAATTCTGACTATTTCGCAATTCTGACTATATTTCGCAATTCTGACTTTATATCTCGCAATTCTGACTAAATTTTGTAATTCTGACTTTATATCTCGCAATTCTGACTAAATTTCGTAATTCTGACTTTATATCTCGCAATTCTGACTATTTCGCAATTCTGACTTTATATCTCGTAATTCTGACTATTTCACAATTCTGACTTTATATCTCGCAATTCTGACTACATCTCGCAATTTTGACTATATCTTGGAATTCTGACTTTATATCTTGCATTTTTTACTACATCTCGCAATTCTGAATATATCTCGCAATTCTGAATATCTCGCAATTCTGACTTTATATCTCGCAATTCTGATTATATCTCACAATTCTGACAATATCTCGGAATTCTGACTATATTTCGCAATTCTGACTTTATATTTCGTTATTCTGATTTTTATATCTCGCAATTCGGACTTTATATCGCAATTCTGACTATATCTCGCAATTCTGACTTTTTAGCTCGCAATTTTGACTTAATATCTCGCAATTCTGACTTTACATCTCGAAATTCTGATTTTATATTTCACAGTTCTGACTTTATATCTCGCAATTATAAATTACAATTATAAAACCCAAATCATGCCCACAATTAATGTGGAGACGTTGAATATTTATGACTTTAACACAGAGAAGTTAAACCGAGCCGAGAATTTGAGACGATATGAAATCTTTCACCCTCACACAAAAATTCCAGATTGTGTGCATGCCTATTGAAATATCTAGATTTCACACATGAAAATCCATTGAACAACAATAAATGTGACCCTCGTGCTTTCCAGAACATTTACTCTCTCTGATCTTCTTTGATCTCCAAAATTACATTTAAAAGTTTTTCCTTGAATAAATTTATTCATGCCCTTAAAATATCTTGAATGTAACTCGACACCCTCGCCTCATTTAGTATGTGCGGTTCTATGAATATGCAAATGAGCCCCGCCTCCAGTCACTCAGAGATCCACTGGTTGACGATCACACGTTGATCTGATTGGTTACAAGGTGGTTTGTGACGTCAGAAACACCAGCGATTTCAAAGCGTGTTTTTGAGACTGTCTTTGGTTCACTGCAGTTTCAAATACTCAGCAATGCTGTCCACTTATCAACTTAAAGTGTATTAAAAACACCACATACACACATAAACAACATTAAAAGCTGGATTTCCACCACAGGGGGAATTAATTAAGCTGGTCTAACCAGGCTGGTAGTTCAGCGTATCGCCCATCTCACAACGTGAACATCTTCATGCAGCTTTCCTTGTTTGTTAAAGGCACAACAACTGATGATTGATCAATATTTGAGGGGTTTATGTCCCCGGCGAGTGAGTTCTCTCAGCACCAGTATAGGGTTTTGACCTGAGGAAGGTATTATGGAGTTAGTGGATAAACCCTTCTGAAAGATGTTGAGTCAGGTATATCTGAGTGTGTGTGTGTGTGTCAGGGCTTATCGTTCACTTCTCCATCAGACACTGGGCGTTCGAACCCCTCTCCGCAACCGCATGACTCAGTGAGCGAACTCCTCCAGTCCCCCGGCGCTGAGCCCCGATGCTCTCGCTGTGACTCGTCATCTCTCCTCGTCTGCTTCTCAGTGCTCGCTCCGCTCGTCATGGACATCGGAGGCTTGACCACGGTGGTGGCCAACTCGGCGTACATCTCGGCACGCGGGAGTTTCGACGGATCCGCAAACCCGGCGGCCAACCGGGACAAGAAGTACCACGCCAAGCTGAAGCTGCCGCACATCACGGTGTGCGAAGACCTGCGGGAAACGCTGGACCTGCAGTTCCAGAGCATCTGCGTGGAGCAGCCGATCGGCAAGCGCCTGTTTCAGGAGTACCTGGAGTCCACCAACGAGTACAAGGGCCCGAGCCGCCTCTGGAAGGACGTGGAGGCGTACGACACGGCCGAGGATAAAGACCGGGCTCAGAAAGCCGGGAAAATCCTCCAGCGCTACATGGAGCCGTCGGCTAAGCTCTTCTGCCCGTTTCTCCCGGAGAACAGCATCACGAAGGTGAAGGAGCGGCACCAGGAGGCGGCGGACGACCTGTTCGTGGAGATCTCGGCGTGCGTGTTCGACTTCCTCAAAGAGGTTCCCTTCACGTTCTACCTGGAGACCATGTACTTTAAGCGCTTCTTGCAGTGGAAGTGGCTGGAGATGCAGCCGATCGGAGAGGACTGGTTCCTGGACTTCCGGGTTCTGGGAAAGGGAGGATTCGGAGAGGTGTCCGCCTGTCAGATGAAGGGCACCGGGAAGCTGTACGCCTGCAAGAAGCTCAACAAGAAGAGGCTGAAGAAGAGGAAAGGCTATGAGGTATGGCAGGAGAGCTTGTGTTGGGCTGAGGGGAATTATGAATTATTATCGAAATGAGTTTGTGGAAATGTTCAGGACTTTCCCATAGAGATAGGATTCAATGCACGTTTATTTGGACAGCGCTTTCACAACACACTGTTTCAAAGCAGCTTTACAGAAAGTGCATGAGTCCACATTAGTGTACAGTGATCTGACATCAGAGGAAACTGTCTGACTTATGCATTTTATAAATATACATGTAATCACAGTTAGATAAAAATGTATTCATTTAAACATTGCAATCATTTAAGGCAGAAGCAATGAGCTCACTGAAAGTGGTTTCAAAAGTTTTGAACATTCCATTTCATCATTCTTCAAACATGGAACGTTACTTTTAAATGTTCTCGGAACGTTCCAAATCTAGTAACATTTAAAAAACTGTTTGACTGACATCAAACTGAAACGCTCCATGATCAATGATGAATGAGTGTTTTGTGTCAATGAGAACATTGTGAAAGACCTGATAACATTTAACTAACGTTCCTGTAACGTTAATAGAACCAAACGTGCCCTGCTAGAATAACTCCAGAAGAAGAGGAGAGCTGAACTTCCTGTTTATCTGGGACTTTCTCAGGAAACAGTGAGAAAGCAAATATATGTTGTAAAAACATTCCCATTGAGTTATGAAAACGTTATATCAGAATGTTTTAAAAAAAAAAAATGGTTTAAAAAGTTTTGAACATTCCATTTCATCATTCTTCAAACATTGAACGTTACTTTTGAATGTTCTCGGAACGTTCTTATACAAGTCGCAACATTTAAAAAACATTAGACGAACATCCGACTTAAACATTCCATGAAAGATTTTTCAAATAATTTTTTTGTGCTTAGACTGAGAACTTTATGAAATATGAAAGCAGCTCGTGTTCGGTTGACAGGCAAACCAACATTATTCACACACCTTCTACATGTCTCTCATCATCTCAGTTTATTGGCTATAATGGTGATGAACATGAGCAGAACTCAGTTCTCAGATCAGTGGATATTTGACTGGTTTTGGTCCTTCTGTTGGACTCTCACACATGAATCATGTTGAATATCTGATACACAATTAGATAATACCAGTTTAGCTCAACCAGTGACCAAGCAATGCTTCATGTTGTTCAGTGTGTGTGTAATTACAGAAAACACACTTCAGCAAAACATGATCAGCTCAAAGTGTCCGAATCATTTCTGCTGCCAATCTTTACTGGTAGTCGCTGTATGAAGAGTTATTGGGTGTAATATGTCCCAGTTTACTTTATTTTGCTCTCCTCACTCACAGAAATGAACTATAGTGTCCTGATCACACTAGTGACACAATATCACACATTATATCTGGTGTGTGAGTAATGTTTGTGTGTTCTGGGAACATTCCCATTGAGTTATGTTTTTTAATTCTTTAAAAAGTTTTGTCTTGGTTATGTGAATATTTCATTTCATAATTCTTCAAACATTGTGGGAACGTTACTTTTTAATGTTCTCTAAAACAAGTAGCAACATTTGAAAGAAGGTAGATTAACGTCCAACTGAAACGTTCCATGATCGATCGATGTATGAATAGTGCTTTTGTGCAACATTATGAATGACCAGATAACGCGTAACGAACGTTCAATTTACGTTACCGAAGGAACGTTCTCCGTTAGAAGTAGAACTGTGTGTGTGTGTGTGTGTGTGTCCACGCATCGATGGACTGTAATGGTAACCCATTAGATAACAGGACATGGATTGTGTGATTAAGAAGCTCAGGCGTGACATTGATGATGAAGGTGAAGGCTTTACTGTAATGTGCTTTACTAGATTACACATCTCATCGTTCTTCGAGTTTGTGCTTTTATCAGTGTTTTAACACCCAGTGATCGCAGATGCATGATGTTATCTCAGTGTGTGTGTGTGTGTGTGTGTGTAGAGCTGAGGAAGCTTTAGCTCATTAATGCCACTCCAACACATTTAAATAAGGAACAGATTTGTTGTGTAAATCCTGGACGGCGGGAACGCTGAGGTGCGGTCCTGAAGGGTTGGCGGGAACGCCGAGGTGCGATCCTGAGGAAATGGCGTTCTCTCAAAGTTATGAACAAACGTTCTTCCAGTAACATTAATAAAACGTTTGGTAATTTTCGTTTGGACGAACATGTTAATAATGACGTCATTCGCGGTTATAAGCACGAGAACAGATTCTGCTGTTCATTCGCTCGATCGACATGTTCCTTCTGGCTGTGAAACACAGAACAGGGATAGGAAGGCCTCGTTTATACGTCACGATGCATGAACTGAGAGAAACCATTTCACAAGATGTAAACAACACTGGTCCAGAAGCACTTCCTGTTTCAGTTTTTTAACACTACATAAAATCTGGGATAAAATACAACCAACAGAACATTTAAAACTGAATCAAAAAGTTAAACAAACATCTTTAAGATGTTTCCTTTACATGTGAAATAAAGAAAACAGTTACAAACTGAAACAGGAAGTGCTTCTGGACCAGTGTTGTTTACATCTTGTGAAATGACCTCTGCAGGACATGTGCAGTGTGTGTTGAGCTCTGTCTGCGTGAATGTGCGTTCATAACACAATGTTATAAATCAAATTGATAACAACTTGTGTGAAAAAGCGAAAAAAGCACGAACAGTCTGAACAGTCACATGATCAGCGACACTGACATGCTTATTTGACTGGAGTCTCCTGCTGTGTGTGTGTGTGTGTGTGTGTGTGAGAGAGAGAGAGAGAGAGAGAGAGTGTGTGTGTGTGTGACTCTGACAGTATGATGAGCTGAAGATGGTGTTGTTCTTGTCTCACAGGGAGCGATGGTGGAGAAACGGATCCTGGCTCGAGTTCACAGTCGGTTCATCGTGTCTCTGGCGTACGCCTTTCAGACCAAAACTGAGCTCTGTCTGGTGATGACCATCATGAACGGAGGAGACCTGAGGTCAGACTCAAACACACACATGATCAGAAACACTGACATGCTTATTTGATTTAAATCTGACTGGAGTCTCCTGCTGTGTGTGTGTGTGTGTGTGTGTCAGGTACCACATCTATAACGTGGATGAGAATAACCCCGGGTTCTCGGAGGCCAGAGCGTGTTATTACTCGGCTCAGATCATCCAGGGAATGGAGCATCTCCACCAGAAGAGGATCATCTACCGAGACCTGAAGCCGGAGAACGTCCTGCTGGACAACGAAGGTGAGCCGCGCCTCGACTACACCCTAATCATCCTGCTGTCAATCATCCTGTCACCGTAGACTGACCTGTCAATCATCCTGTCACTGTAAACTGACCTGTCAATCATCCTGTCACTGACCTGTCAATCATCCTGTCACCGTAAACTGATCTGTCAATCATCCTGTCACCGTAGACTGACCTGTCAATCATCCTGTCACCGTAAACTGACCTGTCAATCATCCTGTCACCGTAAACTGACCTGTCAATCATCCTGTCACTGACCTGTCAATCATCCTGTCACCGTAGACTGACCTGTCAATCATCCTGTCACTGACCTGTCAATCATCCTGTCACTGACCTGTCAATCATCCTGTCACCGTAAACTGACCTGTCAATCATCCTGTCACTGACCTGTCAATCATCCTGTCACCGTAGACTGACCTGTCAATTATCCTGTTACAAACATTCCATAAATATTTTTTCATCAGGTTCATCTTTTATTAGTCACTCAAAGCTTTATCGAAAGCTCTCATCGTCGGTCACACACACTTTTTACTCGTGTTTGTAGTTCCTCCTCCAAAGCGCAGTGTATTGTGGGTAATATCAGCTGTTATAGTGAGGACGGATCCACACTTCGACAATCCGACAGACTCTCTTCAACAGACTCTGCTTTAGGACACACTCATATTAAACTCACACACCGTTCAGGAGGGATAGTGTGGACAAGTGATCAGTCATGTGATCCTCCTGTGTGTGTCCAGGGAACGTCAGGATCTCTGATCTGGGATTGGCTGTGGAACTCGCGGACGGCCAGGAGAAGATCAAAGGTTACGCTGGGACTCCAGGTCAGTGCAGCTCGCCGCCAGCGACACACACTTTACACACACTCTGCTCTACAGTAGATAAACAAACAAACAACACATAAAACAACAAGCAACGTACTAATGCAGACCGTAGCCCAACCCCTCCAGATGAAGAAATAATCTGCACATTACTAGCAGGTAAAGCACATGTTAATGCCGTATTCTGCACGATCATATTCGACATCCCTGAATCTTGCAATACCAACACTAGAGCGATTAACACTCACAACTTTCACATATTATCCTTATATTTGAATAATTACCAGCTTATTATAATATAAGTTATAATTGCTGACTAACATACTCGTGTTTGTTAAACTGAATTCGTGACACTGCTTTAAAGCAATATGTGTGTGTGTGTGCAGGGTTCATGGCCCCGGAGCTGCTGAAGGGGGAGGAGTATGATTACTCCGTGGATTACTTCACTCTCGGGGTCACGCTGTTCGAGTTCATCGCCGCTAAAGGACCGTTCAGGACTCGAGGAGAGAAGGTGCATAACGTCTTTAAACACACACAGCGCTTCAATATCTCCATCTTTAACCAATGCCAGTGAGTGAGTCGATTTAAGAGTGAGTCCCTGATGCACATCTCCGTGTTTGATCGTCAGGTGGAGAATAAAGAGGTGAAGAAGCGGATCCTGAACGACCCCGTGACCTACCCGGAGACGTTCAGCGAGAACGCCAAGTCCATCTGTGAGGGGTTACTGGCTAAAGAAGTGGACAAGAGACTGGGCTTCAAGAACAACTCGTGTGACGAACTGCGCACTCATCCGTTCTTCAGCGAAATCAACTGGAGGAAACTCGACGCAGGTGCAGATCTGCAATCATGTGTTTCTGCTCACCAAAGCTGCGTTTATTTGATGAAAAATACAGTAAAACAGAGAAATATTATTCTAATGTAAATCATCTGTTCTCTATGTGAATATTCAGTAAAGTGTCATTTATATCCTGTGATCAAAACTGAATTTATCATCATCACTCCAGTCTTTAGTGTCACATGACCCTTCACAAATCACTCTAATATGAGGATAGGAATAAACATTTATGATTATTATCAAAGTTGAAAAGATTTCATATTGTGGAAACCGTCATACATTTTATTTTCAAGATGCTATGATAATTACAGTTTTTTTTATAGAATCTTTTGTAACATTATAAATGTCACTTTTGATCAATTTAATGCATCCTTGATGAATAATAGTATTTCTTTCAAAAACACAAAAACTGACCCCAAATCAGGGTTTCCAACTAAATATGAACATACAGTAGTAAACAAGTGCATACTGCATAAGTGTATAGTGTGTAGTGCGTCATTTGGGACACAGCTAATGGCTATATTTATGCAACGGGCCCTTTAGTCATGTGATGCACTAACGACTCACTGATTCGCTGCAGGGATTCTTCCTCCTCCGTTCGTCCCGGATTCGAAGACGGTTTACGCCAAAGATCTGGACGACGTGGGCGCGTTCTCCACGGTGAAGGGGGTCGGCCTGGAGGACGACGACAAGAGCTTCTTCGACGAGTTCGCGTCGGGAAACATCTCGATCCCGTGGCAGGAGGAGATGATCGAGACGGGCGTGTTCGGCGAGCTCAACCTGTGGGGTCCGAACGGGACGGTGCCGAACGACCTGCGCCGAGAGTCCATCCTGGAGCAGCCGCCCAAATCCTCCACCTGCAGCGTCTCATAATCACACACACACACACACACACACACACACACACACACACACACACACACACACACACACCTGTAGTGTCTCATAATCACACACACACACACACACACACCTGCAGCGTCTCATAATCACACACACACACACACACACACACACACACACACACACACACACACACCTGTAGTGTCTCATAATCACACACACACACACACACACACGCACTTCAGCTGCAGCGTCTCTATTATTATTATTATTATTGTTTATTGAGTTTATTGAACTGTCCGTTAAGTTCAAGCACTCGTGAGTTCACACACACACACACACACACTATTCTGTGTTCGAGCGTTAGGCTTTTAAACACAACCCAATATCTGAGAATAAAGAGGGAAACGCTTTGCTGTCGTCCTTTAGATCAGAGAGTAATAACAACTGACCGTGAACACTGTATGAGTGACATCGTTCTGTGATCTGAAGCTCATGTGTGTGTTTGTGTTTACAGTCGATAACGTGTTCAAAAGCAAGAATATAGAATATTGCAGTGAATAATTCAATGCTTCTCTAATTGATGCTTTGAATCCTTCTTTCCTGAACTGGTCTAGTGAAGAGTTCCAATTGCTATAATTAATGCCTTGATTGATTGTGACTGTGTTTTATGAGACCGGTCGTCTCATAGTGTCGGCCCACATCTGGCCCCTGTTTGACCTGCATGTTTCGGATCTGGGCCGGATGTGGGCCGCCACTATGCTTCTGTCTGTGCATGAATCGCTTTGGAAACCCGAGTTTCTTCATGTAAAAAGCTGTAAATGTCTATAGGTTGCATTGATTATTGAAGTACTTCTGAATAATATAATAGTTGTCATAATTATGATTTCAAATAAATGTTTTACCATAAATACACCTCTGGTGACTGTGTTATCTGTGGATGTTGAAGGAAAAAAGTCACAAGAAAACATCCAAAATACACTTTTAACTCTATCTTTTAGAGCACTTTATCTATTTTGATCTATTTCAATTACAGTATATATCTTTAAAGTGAGTTTTGCCAGCTTATAGAGCCTTCAGCTGCTTTACACCAAACTTAACAGATTTATTCATATCTATATTTTGGGGTTTGTTCATCAATACTTTTCCTGATTTTATACAACATTTGTTAGAACATATTTTTGTAATGCGGGATATTGGAGTTTAGTTAGTTAGCCAGGTGGTTTTATTTTTAAAAGTCAGTTTCTGTAAAGACACAAATCTAAAGTCTTAAATAAAAGGCTATCGAACATTTCAACTCTTACACTGTCCCCCAAAAGTTAATTACGGGCTCATGTGTGAAAATACTGCATTAAAATACTCTATAAAATCTCCATTCAAAATGTATTATGTATTTAAGCAGTAAAACACTTCTGAAAATAAATAACAAAAATGGAAAAGAAGACATTCAACGTATCAAACCAATGAATTGTAATTAATAAATTGTATAAAATTACACAACTTTACACGACTGTGTAAAAGTAATATATTCATGAGTATATATTAATAATAATATATTCATACATACATGACTCGTTTAAAAACACATGGGCGGAGTCTCGCTCAGCACTCCACAGGAAACTCAACGGAAAAGTTTTTTTTGGTTTCAGGCATGCATAGATATGTCAGGGACCAATGAGGGCGGCCGTTGATCCGCGCATGCGCACAGGTCGTCCAATGGAAAGTCGGTTAAAATTTCAAATGCTTTCAGTCAGTCAGTCAGTCAGTTAGTTTCAGTAGCGTTGCGATTTATCGTTAATGAATGGAGCGAAAATGACAGAAGAATCCGCTGTAAAAGTTTGCGTTAGGGTCAGGCCCCTTATTAAAAGGTAAGAAAATATAAATATTTACAGTATGTACGTGAATTTGATTTCAAAAACAGTAGAGGTAACGTTAACTTATTGCTGGGAGATTCACTGCTGATGAGTGAACAGTCTTAGCGAGCCTAACGTTGACATAATTGTAAGTCGGAAACGTTAGCGAAGGGTGTTTTTGCTGTAATTTATAATATTTCTGAGGTAATTATTCTCTAGAAACGTATTATGAACAATTTATAAATAATATATCTAACGTTAAGTAACATATTTCGCTGGTTTACCAGTGGCCAGTCAAGTGAACGTTAACGTTAATCCATGGAAGCAGCTTGTGTCCGCCACTGAACACAACATTTTAAAAGATAATTGCGACTTTTCATCTTTCAATTGCCAGTTTATATCTTACAATTTTGATTGATTTCAAGACTGTGAGATTATAAAGTCAAATTCTGAAAAAAAGAAAAGGGATAAAATGACAGAATTGTGAGTTTATATCACGTATTCAATTGTGAGAAAAACAGTCCCAATTATAACGTAACCCTTTTTTATTTTGTATCGGTGGACACAAGCTTCCATACTAATCTGACTTAATACAAACTTCAAGGAATAGTTCAGGTCAAAATAATGTCATTTAAAGTTATTCAACCTCGTGTTTTCCCCAAACCTGTATGAATTTATTTCTTCTGCTGAACATAAAAGATATTTTGAAGAATTGAATTAACTTAACCAATAAGTTGATGTAATGACTTTAATAGTATTTTTTTTTTTCTACTGTGGAAGTCAATGGGGTCCATCAACTGTTTGGTTTTACAAAGCGCTGCAGTCTGTCAGTCTCCACACAGCTCGTTTATTCCATGTTTAAAGTTAATCTTCAGTGTTTCGACATCATTGTAATAATCCTGATGCCTTCAGGGAGGAGTCTGAGAGTTCAGAGCCAGTGCAGCTCTTTTGGAGAGCCGATAAACAGGCCATCCATCAGCTGGATGAAGATGGTGCTACGGCCAAGAGCTTCAGCTTCGGTGAGTTGAGCTCCAGTGATCGCAGTGGTGTGTGTGTGTTCGTGTTCTGACCCTCGTGTGTGTTTTTCAGACCGAGTGTTCAGCGCTGCAGAGACCACCGCTCAGCTGTACCAGGACATCGCCAAGCCCCTGGTCGTTTCTGCAGTCGAAGGCTATAACGGTGAGGCCGGAACATCCATCGTGAAGATTTGTCCTGTAGTTCATCAGATTGGCTGATCCCTCTGAGCTCAAATGATCAGTTCACTTCAGAGTTTAAATGTCCTGATAATTTACTCTCCTCATCCAAGATATTTGAGGAAAACATTCCAGGATTGTTATGCATATAGTGACTTCAATGGGGTCCAACGGGTCGAAGGTCCAGATGTGAGGACTAAGAGTGTTATATAGACAAACCATCGGACATTTAAAACAAAATAAACATTTATATACTTGATAACCACTAATGCTGGTCTTGCACGAACTGTGATGCGACACACATTACGTAATCAGACAATTACAATCAGACTCAGGGTGAAAGGTCAAGCGTGATGTAGACGGCACAGCAGATCCAGTGTTTACAAAGTGAGCGTGCAAAGAAATGGCATTTATTAAATAATTAAACAGGAAAACAACGATGTTAGACGATATTGAAGTTGGAGGAGAAAATGAGAATGAGTTTTTCCCCATTTCATGAACACACATTTTTTTTCGCCCTACTCTACATTTCTGAACCAGAACACATGTGACTTTTCACCCTAAATACATAATGTGTGTCGCATCACAGCTCGAGCATTTATTTATGGTTATAAAGTATATCAATTTTTTATTTGTTTACCCTATTGAAGTCCACTACATGGAGAAATCCTGCAATGAACTAATCCTTTAAGACATGGTGCAGTAATGCATGCTCTATGGACACACTGCACACAGGCCTAGTCTAGTACATTAGAGGTGTGTTCTGCACTTACTCAAAGTATTGATACATCATCTCCTGTTTTCAGGCACGATATTTGCCTACGGACAGACGTCATCCGGGAAGACTTTCTCCATGATGGGAAGCGAGCACAACCCTGGAGTGATTCCTCTCGCCATGGCTGACGTCTTCAAAACTATCAAAAATGTAAGTGCAAAGTACTTGGTGTACTTGAATTTGACTTTGAAATTTAAGTCCTGGAAAACCCATGAAAGGTGCTGGAGTTATTGAAAGACAATATATAGATGTATAATTTTATCGCTGAAACAATATTTTCACTCAAACACTGCAGCCCGTCTGATATAGAGCCGTTTCTCATGGCGATGAGTGTAATATTGCTCATATTAATATCCAAGTCTATGATACAGCTTTTACTCTTCATCAATCAAATATTCATGAGAAAAATAATCAGTTTGAACAAGGAACCTTTGACATTATATCCTTTCAAAGGTTAATGTTTCCACAGTCACTGCATGTGCTGCACTTTAGTAGTACCATTTTGTTTTATTGGTTTATTTTCATTTTTCTATTTACCTTTTTTATAATTTGGAAGATAGTAATGATATTGTTTGGTAAGTGAGATCTGAATTGAGTCTGATTGTAGTTTCCCGTGTTTTTTGAGATCTGAACCGTTGTGATTTTGGGGCGAATCATTGTAGTTTATTTCAGTACATCTGTCTTGTATGTTTGATAATGGTTCATTAGCCAAAGCCTTCTCTGGCAGTGAGCGCTTAATAGCTTTATTTCTTTACGTCTTTTTCCAGTTTCCGAAGAAAGAGTTTCTCCTGCGCGTGAGTTATATGGAGATCTACAACGAGACGGTCACAGATCTGCTCTGCGACAGCTGGAAAAGAAGGCCTCTGGAGATCCGGGAAGGGAACTATGTGAGTGTTTGCTAGGACTCGTACACGGATGCGAGTGTAGGTTCAGATCTTTAAGGGGTGATTCAACCAAAAATTAAAATTAGCCCTTGATTTACTCTTTCCCAAGCCAAGCCATCCTTCACTCTTCCCCTTTCTCAAGCCATCCTAGGTGTATATGACATGCTTCTTTCAGGTGAATACAAATTATATATACATATATAAAGGGTTAGGCTTCATAAAAGTGCATCTGTCCATCATAAACGAACTCCACAGTCTCCGGGGGGTTAATAAAAGCCTTCTGAAGCAAAGCCATGTGTTTTTTTTTTGTTTGTTGTTTTTTAAGAAAATCCTTATTTTAAAAAGATTATTAACCCCCCGCAGCCTGTGGAGTTTATCCTGGATAGAAGCACTTTAATCATGGATAAATGCTCTTTTATGGCTGTCTAAAGCTTGGAAGACCCAGGACACTTTTGATATAACTCCGATTGTCTTTGTCTGAAACAAGAACGTGATACACATGGCTTCAGGGTGAGTAAATCTTGGGGTAATTTAAATGTTTGCGTGAACTATCCGTTTAACCCACAGAAAAACGTGTACGTGGCCGATCTGACCGAAGAGATGGTGACGTCTCCCGAACAAGCCCTGTCCTGGATCACCAAAGGAGAAAGTAAAGCTGCTCTCATTGAATCCCTCACCCGCTCGTTCTTTATTCTGCTGTTCTGTGGTGCTTATCTGACCCTCACTTGATTCATACAGAAAACCGGCATTATGGAAAAACTAAAATGAACCAGCGCAGCAGCCGCTCTCACACCATTTTCCGCATGGTAAGAGGCGAACGGAGTGTGTTTGGAATTGGTTTATTTGAATTCTAAGTTAATCTGGTTTGTGTTCTCCGTGTCAGATCCTGGAGAGCCGTGACCGAAGCGATCCGGCGTCTGGGGAAAACGCTGATGGAGCCATCATTGTGTCGCATCTGGTGAGCTCCAAACTAACGCCACCCTTCTGTGTGATCTCACTGACGTCTTTTGGATGAGCAACATTTATCACGTTTACTCAGTCTGCTGTCGTTCCCTGTTTCTCTAGAACCTGGTGGATCTGGCCGGAGCGGAGCGGGCGAGTCAGACGGGAGCTGAGGGTAATCATTGTGTTTACCGTTCGTTCTTTTAGTCTGTCCCTTGTTTCGGAACAGAAAAATGGACTTCATTAAATAATCAAACTACACGATTCACAATCGTAATGATTCGCAGGTGACAATGACGGGGCGCAAGAAACGATCATTTTGTGTCGTATAGTGTGTCATGGTGGATGACAACTGGCGCAGTGCTTCACAATGTCCCGATATAAAGACTAGCATGTTTAATTAATGCCGGTCCTCCATGACGGGTTCTGTCACATCTGTGACCAATAGGAGCACAGAATCTCTTCCCTACACCGCTTTCAAACATGGCGAACCGATGGTCATTACAAATCTGGCACATTTGGTTGTGTATACGTCTCTATAGTGAAGGACAATTTGATTTGCTAGTTAAGGCCAGGTCTCCAAATGGCCAAACTTTGAGCCATTTACGAAAAGCTTAAAATAAAACCATTTATTTAATGGATTTGTGTGTTAAAAGCTCTTTTTTGTTTCAGGCGCCCGGTTAAAAGAAGGATGCAACATTAATCGCAGTCTGTTCATACTGGGTCAAGTCATCAAGAAGTTATCCGACGAGAGTCAGAAGTGAGTCATTTCGGGACTTCTCCCTGTTTTTTGTCAGCAAACCCTTGCAAACCTTAACGTCTCGTCTCCATTCCATCCAAAAGGGGCTTCGTGAATTATAGAGATAGTAAATTGACCCGAATCCTTCAGAACTCTCTTGGCGGAAATGCAAAGACTGTGATAATCTGCACCATCACGCCGGCCACTGTGGACGAGACCGTCAGCACGCTACAGGTACGAGGACGCTACGCTGCTCGGCTCTGGTGTGGGAGATGTGTTTAACTCATCTGTGTTTTACTGTGCTTTAAAGTTTGCGAGCGCTGCGAAGCGCATGAAGAACGACCCTCATGTCACGGAGGTCTCCGATGAAGGCGCGCTCCTGAAGAGATACCGCAATGAGATAGTTGATCTCAGACGCCGTCTGCAAGAGGTAAGTCACGTCTCCTCCATCTATACAGTGACACACACACAGTGTTTGAGCTCGAGAACACACACTTTGAAACAGGATCCATGAGCAAGTTTTGGAGGGGAAAAGAAGAGAAAAGCCTTGAATCTGTGAGAACGGTGATGATGTATTATGTGAGTGTGTAGATCTCGGGTTTGATAATTGTCCGGTAATAACACGATCTCTTTCCCGTCTCCCCTCACAGGTGTCCTCTGTCACTCAGACGACTGAAACCGAGCGCGAGACGCTTTGTCAGCTCCTGCAGGAGAAGGACCAGCTGCAGAGGGATCAGCAGGACCGGATCAAAAACCTGACCAAATTACTCGTCACTGCCTCAAACTGCGCCCTGATCCCAAAGGTGAACGATTTCTCCAGTCGTAACTAGGGTTGGCTATCGTTTGAATTATCGATTCCTAATTTCGATTCCAATAAAAAAAAAACCTTGAATATCTTTTACATTTACTCTTATTGCAAAACCTTTAATTGTACCTTAATATCATGAACAAAAATCAACAGGCTAAAGAACACTTAAGCTAGGAATGTTTGCATGTTTTATAAAACCATAGAAATATAGAGTTCACAGAGGAATCTAAATAAAATTTTATAACAAGTATCTGATTCCTGACCTGTTTTTTTTTCATTCCCAACCCTAATCGTAACTCCTCAGTGGATCTGATACTGTATTTATACGCACAGGTGCCCAAGCGGAGAGTGACGTGGGGGGGGAAACTGCTGAGATCTGCACATCTGCTCCAGGAGGACCTCGGCTCGACCGACATGAGTTTCGCTGAGCCGTACGTCAAGAAGAGGAGAGCCGACTGCTCTCTGCCTGAAGAGGGAGACGGTATGAGGTCGCTCGCAACACTTTAGTTTATTAGTTTTTTAATAACGTGGACAGTCCCTTTTTGAAAGGAAAAAGAGCAGCTTTAGCCTATACGGCTAATTTCCAGCTGTAGTCCCCGGCCAGTTCTGAATAGGCATACATCAATAAAATACATTACTTGAGAAGCTTGCTTGCTTTTGAAAGTAATTCTGCAGTCGCAAAGAAGCACAGAAGTCATCATAAATATTTGTTGATCCTTTTAGTCTGTTGCTTATATAAAACTTCAGCTTTTCAGTCATTTTTGACAGTTTTCCTCAAATAAAATGACTTAAAGTTAGGATGTCCTTCACCTTCTTAAATGCCTCGTCTTAAAAGATTCCAAATTTTTTTGCCATATCAAATTAAATGTTATAATTAAGCATTTGAAGGCAACGCAAACCAGCCGGTCCATCTTAAGACAGGCTCAGGCGCATTAAAAAAGCGGCGCTGAATTCCAGTCAAGCCAAAAGATTAAACATTCTGTGAAGATCTGTGTGTCCGTCAGCAGATAAAGGTTCATGAGGCGTTTGGTGTTGTGTGCAGATATGGATGAGTTCGACAGCCGCTTCGACTTCACCGCTATGGATGAACCCAACCTGGACATGGACATGAGCAGCATCACAGTCCGCAGCTCCTCGGAGGGGTGAGAACCATCATCAATATCAGCACTGCCTTCACACTCTGATGGGGCGGTTAAATCTGTTTAAATTGTAGAAAAATAAAAGTTTTAATGTAAATGTTTCCTGGAAAAAAAAAAACATGCGCTAGCAAAAGTGTTTGCATGCTTTTCTGCATTTCATAATGTCTCGTCTGTGTTCAGGGGTAATTTCCTCGACTCTCCCCGCGCGAACGAGCTGATGGCGAAGGTGGCGTCTTTGGCGTACCAGCTGGACACCGAGACTCAGAGCAAGCGCAGAGCCGAGGAGATGAGCGCTGAGCTCCAGCTGAAGCTCTCTGAGCTGCAGGACCAGCTGGAGGCTCGAGCCACGCCTTCGGGACAGGACACGGCCCTCTGTGAGCTGGAGGAGCTGCGGCGCCACCTGGAGGAGCAGGTTCAGGAGCGAGCGAGAGCGGAGGAGAAGAGTGCCGCCCTGGAGCTGAAGCTGGCTGAGCTGGAGAAGACTTCAGAAGCCCTCCTGCGCTCGCAGAACACCTGTGAACGGGTACGACCCGCTCTAGTCCCCACAATGCACTTCTGTTTTATGCATATAGACCATTTTGCAAGGTCCAGAAACACTTCCTGTTTGGTTTTTAACACTACATAAAAGCTGGGATAAAATACAACCAACAGAACATATAAAACTGAATCAAAAAGTTAAACATCTTTAAGATGTTTTCTTTACATGTGAAATAAAGAAAACTGTTACAAACTGAAACAGGAAGTGCTTCTGGACCAGTGTTGTTTACATCTTGTGAAATGTGACGGTGAGGATATTTTCAATTTGATGGCAAAAGTAAAATGAGTTCATTAGCCTATTGTTCTTGAACACATTGCTTTACTTTGACACCAGATATTGTCATGAAGTCCGACTCCTGTTGCTGATCTGTGACTCTCGATTTATTAAACAGATACATTCAGTTTTTAATTGTAGTGTCTGTTCTCTAACTGAACTAAATGTTTTTATTAAAACAAAATCGACATTGGGGGCGGTGCCGTGATGTAACTGGTGTTGCTTCTGAACACCGACTATCGTAGCAAGTCTAATGCGTGTCCCCTTCTGTAGTGATGTGTTCTCTTTATTATTGATTATTGTGTGTGTGTTCAGCTGCAGAGAGATCTGGAAGAGGCCATTCAGCTCTGCGAGACTGTTGGGTTTGAGAAAGTGAGTAAACACGCACATTTTTTTGGGCTTGCTGATTGTTCTTTTTCCTTTAGAAATGCTTCATATGTAGTGTTTGGTTTCGTTTGTATTAAAAAACAGGGATTTTAATGCCATTGTTGAACCCTGCTAATAAATCAAACATCACCTTTTTATTTATTTTGTAAAGGATGCTGTTATAGCTGAGCGAGACCTGGCCAAACACACGCTGGATCAGCTGACCTCCGACCTGGAGAGTGTGAAGGCAGAGAAGGACTCGCTTCAGAAAGACAAGGACGCCCTGCAGAAGGACATCGAGGAGAGGAGAGATGCGGACGAGTTCGAGAAACTGGAGGAGGAGGCCAAGAGGGAGTACGAGGTGATCAGAGCGCCACAGCTAAGCTTCATCCTCGCATACAGCGGATCTGGTTTACATGTTCTGTCTTCACACAGGGGGAATTAGAGTCGGAGAACTCCAGGCTGAAGCAGGACCTAAAGCGATCTGAAGAAATGATCCAACAGCTGAAGGTCTGCTCTCATTCTTTCTTTCATTCGCTTTCGAACGTGTGTATCATGTCCATATGAACTCCGTGCTGTTCTCCACAGGCTGATCTGGCGACGATGTCATCTGAGCTCCAGAAGAACACCGCTCTGACCGCTGAGCTTCAGAGATTTGTACGTATATTGATATACTATCACTAAATATAGGCCAAATTGTGCAGCCCTACAAACAAGATTTTCTTCTTAAACTAGTCAATTTTGATCAGAAAAGTCACAATTCGATTTGTCAACAGAAATCAAAATGATGCTTTCTAGGAAACGGTAACTCTGTCTCATTCATGCTATATTGCAATCTGCAGAGCGACAAGGATCTTGTGCATGAAGTGACGTGTCTGAGGCGCTCTCTGGATGATGCGGAGACTCTCAGTTTGGATACGAAGAAGGAATGGGCCTTCCTGCGCAGCGAGAACATCCGCCTCAAAGAGAGAGACGTGAGTACAGCTGTGTGTGTGTGCACATAAATCCATCTATGTATTGTGGAGAGTGACTGTATATATTGTGTAAAGTTCACCCAAAATAAAAACATTTCTGTTAGGAAAAAATGTTTTCAGAGTTTTAATGTCAGTACATTAACCTACTATATATGAGGTATATTAATGCACTGTGAATATTTGTTGGCCTGATAATGCCAAATGTTTGTTCCAGTAAAAGTGTCCTACATTATTTTAAATACTTCTAGTCTGAGACCGAGTGCAAGCAGATTTGTCTATAATTATAATGTTTTCTGCTTCAGAATCATGAATATTCTTATTCTGGTCTCTCTGTCCTAGTCCAAATGGTGTTGTGGTGTGTTTAATGTGAGTCATGTGACTTTGCTCAGGTGACCCTGACCACAGACTATGAGAAGATGGAAGCTGTGGTGAAGACGCTTCAGGAAAAGCTAGAGCTGGAGAAATCTCGCTTCAGGAAGATGCAAACCGATCTCCAAAGAGAGCTGATGGGAGCCTTCGATGAGAACACCAAACTGACGGCTCTGCTGGACGGGAAAGTGCCGAAAAGTGGGTGTAGAACCGCCAAAGCACATGCAGGAGGCTCTCAGTAAATGTAGTCAGTTCTGAATCGTGGTCTTCATTCTCATCATCTTGTCAATGATTCACAACGATCAGTTGAACCAACATCACAGGGATGGTTCAGTCCAAACCCATACGACTTTCATTTATCTTCGACACAAATGTAGATGTTTTTTTTTTTTGTCATATTTTTGTCCATCCATTGAAATTTTACAAGCTTCAAAAGGCACAAAGATATTGTCAAAAATAATCCTTGATAATTAAGAGGTTTAATCTCGCAGTATCTCTTTATATGATGAATACATTTAACTTTTTTTTTTTTTTTTTTAATTCATATTGACTATGATCAACATGCTTATCAAATATGGTAAACAGCAGCTAAACTGTGGCGCTTCGAGTGCATCATATTCTTATGGGTTACTTTAATGAAGCTTGGATCTGAATTTCAATATATGGACAAAATGTGTTTTCTGAAGATTAACGAAAGTCATGTTTAAAATGACATGAGGGAGATTAAATGATGACAGGATTAATTTTTTTACGACCTATTCCTCTAAGATTTAGCACACTGGTACATGCAGTGTTTCAATCATTGTGATGTTCGTCTGTCGTTTAAGGAAGTAATTTGTTACTTGTGATGTTCCCGCTCTTCACAGATCTGACTGATAATCTGCTGTTGGAGAAAACACTGTGTGACGTGCGTAAGGAGCTTGACCAGAGTCTCGAGAGGGAGCGACATCTGCAGAGCAAGGCGGAGGAGGTCGAGACGCTCTCTGTGAAAGTGGAGGAATTACAGACACAGGTCAGAACCGACTCATGGCGTCTTAGCTAGCTTCTGCACCGACACCGGTGTCTAAATCTCCTCCATTACGGTTCATTCTCAGGTGTGTGTTCTGTCCGAAGAGCTGAGTTCTGCTCGAGAGGAGCGAGACGCTCTGGTATCTGCTCAGTCCGCTGTGAAAGCAGGAGCCGGTGAGACGTGTGTGTCTGCGGATCGGCCGCTGGAGACGGAGAGCGGTCTGGTGGAGGAAGCAGAACTGACCCGACAGATCACACACACTTCAGAACGCCTGCAGAACATCCAGACGGACCTGGAGGAGGCCACGCAGGAGAAGCACACACTGCTGGCAGCACTGGACGAGGCCACGCAGAAGGTACACACACGGGCAGACACTCGTAGTGGATGATTTTTGTTGTTTCATGGGTTAGTTGTTGCAGATCTAGTGTTGACACTGTTTCCCCGTCAGTCGCTGCAGCTGAGCTCAGAGCTGGAGTGTGTGTGTGGCGAGAGAGACGCGCTTCTGTCTGAGATGCGGAGAGTTCAGAGTGAGCCGGATGAGATGGAGGACCTGCGACGCGCCGTCATCTCCCAAACTGAAGAGCGAGAGCAGATGCAGGAGATCCTACAGGCCCTGAGAGGCGAGCGGGACCAGCTCAAGAGCGACCTGGAGGAAAATGTGGAGATGGTGAGCGCTTGCGACTGCCGGGCAGGTCACATGATCTCGCTCGGCTACCGAGCCTTTAACCCTCATGCATCCATTTAAAAGTTACACGGGTCCACACTCGACAAAAATGTCTGTGTCTGGAAAAAACGGTCATAAATTAAGTTTGGGAGCACAGATTTAAATTTGGTCTCATTTTAAAGACCAATAGCAAGATCAGTGTTGAGGGAAAAAGAAGTTTAAAAAGTGTCAATAACATGTTTCATAAAATTTATATCTATTATGTTTTTGAGTTCTAAAACTTCTAGAAAATCAAAGCCATAAATCAAAATATTTACAGATTTGAGGTTAATGTCTAATTAATATCTCTCAAATATTACAAGCACACACACAATGTTCATTACATTACTTGCAAACCACACTGACATCATACCAACACAAGTATCGCTGCATAATCTATCCAATCGGCTCTATTATACGCATAGCAGAAAACAGGAATAAAGCGAGTGTTTGCTTTATAGGCCAAACCTGAAAATGGCACCATCTGGTTTACAGTAGTAGAAACGTACATTTTGAAGCCTTGCCAACAGATAGAAGCCTTTTTACAAAGATTGCATCATTTTCTAGTTGAATGGCCTGGGATTAAACATTGCCGTTTCATTGGGGACATTTGTTCAGGAACTATTTTTGTAAATTGGGATGAAATGGTAAAATTCCATTAACACACACACACACCTGTGCCAAAATGTGTCCAGTTGGCATTAATACAGGCAAAATGATCCAACTGAGAGACAGTGTCCGTAACCCTGATCTGTAACCCTCGCTGCAGATGATCGAGACTCAAGCAGAGCTGAGAGACGCTCAGGAGACGGTGAAGGACCTGCGGGGGGAGATACTCAATCTGAGGTCGCAGAGAGGTCAGGTCCAAACGAGCCTAGAGCATCAGGTACTTGTCATTACAGCTCCTGCTATTTCAGACATTTTTTTATTTTTGGCTTCCACTGATTATGATTATGAAAAGAAGATAATAGCGATATAAACTTTATTGCACTGCATTCTGTTTCCCAATGATTATTTCCTTCCCCTCCTTCACAGCAACGTGATTTCATTATCCCCTAAAAGTCTAGACTTGAACATCCAAATCGGTACAATATGAGTGTCGTAAAAATGCGTTCTAATGCAGGACGTGCTTGCTAATTACAGTTATTAATGTGTGTGTGCAGATGAAGCAGCCGACAGAAGAAGAGCGACCGCTGTGTGAGAGATCTGGCCATCATGAGCAGTCGGAGGCGCTGGAGCAGATGAAGGCTGATCTCAGGTCTGTGACGGAGGAGAGAGAGCAGCTTCGGGAGAGCCTGCAGCAGATGCACACACTTCTGGAAGAGAAGACTGCGATGGTGAGCGTCACTACAAGAAGAGTTCCCGTTTCACACAAGAAACAGCTCTTGCTTACGGTTTCAGATTCAGCTTCATGATCATCATGCAGAGCCAATAAAAACACAGTCAGCATCTGACCAGACGTGCCAACCGTAAATATATCCGTGTTTTGTTTTAGATTCTGCAGGTTCAGTCCGAGTTACAGCAGCAGCGTTTGAATCAAGAACAGGATTCGGGCGAGGAGAACAGCGCTCTGCTACAGGTCTGTGACTGACCTCTGACATGATCTGAGTTTCACCTTTAGACATCTCCTGCATTGACGGTATTATATGAGAACTGAACTGATCTGGACGATGACATCACGGTTTACTCCAGAGCGACTGTATATATATGAACTAAATAACTTATTTACAACAAAATGAAGCATCACTGAACTTAATCTGGACTGTGACGGCATTTTCTAGACACAAACTTGCATTATTCTCTTGTTATCTCTGTAAAGCTGCTTTGCTTTACACACACACACACTCACAGTAAAGCGCTGTATAAATGAAGCCGACTTCAGAGTTTGTGCGGGTTAATCTGATGTTGTGACATGTTCTACAGATCCAGACGCTAAAGAAAGAGCTCGAGACTTTATTGGAGGAGAGGAACCAGCTGACGTTGAAACTTCAGGAGACGTCTGAGCAGGTGGAGATCTGGAACTATATGTATTTGTGAAATGAATATAGACGTCTCCAGCTGCCCGTGACGTGCGAGAATAAATGAGCGGTTTATTCTCAGGTGTGTGTTCTGTCTGAAGAGCTGAGTTCTGCTCGAGAGGAGCGAGACGCTCTGGTATCTGCTCAGGCCGCTGTGAAAGCAGGAGTCGGTGAGACGTGTGTGTCTGCGGACCCGCCGCTGGAGACGGAGAGCGGTCTGGTGGAGGAAGCAGAACTGACCCGACAGATCACACACACTTCAGAACGCCTGCAGAACATCCAGACGGACCTGGAGGAGGCCACGCAGGAGAAGCACACACTGCTGGCAGCACTGGACGAGGCCACGCAGAAGGTACACACACGGGCAGACACTCGTAGTGGATGATTTTTGTTGTTTCATGGGTTAGTTGTTGCAGATCTAGTTTTAACACTGTTTCCCCCGTCAGTCGCTGCAGCTGAGCTCAGAGCTGGAGTGTGTGTGCGGCGAGAGAGACGCGCTTCTGTCTGAGATGCGGAGAGTTCAGAGTGAGCCGGATGAGATGGAGGACCTGCGACGCGCCGTCATCTCCCAAACTGAAGAGCGAGAGCAGATGCAGGAGATCCTACAGGCCCTGAGAGGCGAGCGGGACCAGCTCAAGAGCGACCTGGAGGACAGTAACGGGATGGTAAATACTGAAGTCTGCTCGTTATATTAATATACAGGATCAGCATTTGAGGTGGATCAAAGTTGTCCTGAGACGAGAACGGTTCAAAATTCATGTATAACTTTGAAAGGTTTTGATCAACTTCAAATGTTGACTACTGTACATGATAAAGAGGTTATGTTTTTATAAAGTCCTGATGTGTTCAGGCTCGACTAGAACAGGTTTTCCTGCTTGAATGTTGATTATTCTCCATTGTTGCGGCTCCTTTCTTCCCAGACTGCTCTGTTTACTTCCTGTCTCTATGAAGCCCCTCCTTCTGAAAAGCACACTGTGCTCTGATTGGTTGGCTGGATCAGTGTGTTGTGATTGGTCGAGTGCTTTGTGTGTTTGGGAAATGTCCCGCCCCTTTCCATAACCGCCAGTTTAACACACAACTAACAAACTCACCCAGGCCCCGCCCCTTTATTCTGCGCATTAATTATTATAATGAGGAATATTGTGACGTGTTAAACTCGAGACTACAGTGGAGGCGTTTCAGGAGTTCAGAAACACTGACGCTCATATAGAGGAGAACTGGAGCTTTTTCCTGATCACAAAAAGCATAAATGTAAAGCTTAATAGGTCATCTTTAAAGTGAGGTGTGTGTGTGTCAGCTTATGCAGGTTCAGCAGGAGCGCATCGGCCCAAAGATGGACACTCATCATGATGAGCTCCTCCAGCAGGTAATCTGAGACACACTCCTAATGTGAACGCATTGGATGCTGGTTCTCGTGATGTTTACGTGATGTCTGTCACAGGTGCAGCGGCTCAAGGAGGATCTGGAGACCACGAGCGCGGAGAAGAGCCAGCTGAAGTCGGATCTGCAGGACAATGTGGAAATGGTGAGATGAACACAGCTGAGCCGCTGTTTTTGATGGGTTGAAAACGGAAATATTATTGGAATGTAAATCATCTGTTTTCTATTTATATATATATGTATAGTAAAGTGTAATTTATTCCTGTGATCAAAGCTGAATTTATCATCATTACTCCAGTCTTCAGTGTCGCATGACCCTTCAGAAATCACTCTAATATGAGGATCTGATGCTCAAGAAACAGTTATGATTATTATCAGTGTTGAACACGGTTGATATTTTTGTGGAAACCATCTTGCATTTAATTTTCGGGATTCTTTTTATAAAGTTTATTTATTTGAAATAGAATCGTTTGTATCATTATAAATGTCACTTTGGACCTATTGAATGCCTCCTTACTGACTAAAAGCTATAATTATAACTCCGGTGATGATCATCATAACACCGGTGATGCGTGTATTAAATTTATTCTGGTATTTGGTACGAACTGCTAGACCACCAGCACTAATTATACATTTACCTTTTTCAAATGCAGATGATTGAAAACCAAGAGGAGCTGAGAGGAGCTCTTGAGAAGGTGAAAGATCTTCAGAACGCTTTACTAGAGCTGGAGTCTCAGCGGACGCTCCTGGAGGCCAACCTCTCTGAACACACATGTGAGATGGAGAAGATGAAGGCCAGCATCACCTCGCTGACGGAGGAGAGAGAGCAGCTCCAGCTAACCCTGAGGAGAGAACAGCAGGACCGAGACCAGACGGTACACACACACACCTTTCCATCCTTAACTTCATACATAACCCTTTTAATTCTGCTCTAAATATCTTTAAGTGTTCCCGACCTCTTTTGGGCAAATGTGGCCTCGCATTCCAGTCATTCCTAATGGGGTCATATTGATCCGCGAGGGAAGGATTTGTTAATTTACACACAACTCGTCGAATCTATTCATTTTTTTGTGTTTGCGTCAATAGCCAAAAGCCTTCATGTAAACCTCTAAATCAATCCAGCTGAGCTCGGTCACAGTGGAAAGGAAGGTGTCGACCTGAAATAATCCAAACTATATTTATTTAGTGGTTATCCAAAGCAAAAACACACAACACACTTGAGTTATATTGTGAATCTTCACTCATTTTCATCACTACAGTGCAAAAACACAAATCTAAACTGTTAAAAATATTTTTGCTGCAGTGAATAATGCAATTAAAAATCGACCCTTGTGACTGGTTTTGTGGTCCAGGGTCACATGAGGTTTCCGGCCAACTGCGAACTCTGATTTTAATGTGTTCCTTTGGTTCAGATGGCCCAGCTGAGGGCAGAGCTCCAGTCTGTGTGTGCCGAGAGAGACCGAGTGTCCTCTGAGAGGATCGGAGACGTGGATCACATGGACCGGGTGACCTCTGTGACTGAGGAGCGGGATCGGCTCGCGGAATCTCTTCAGCGGCTCACACACGAGAGCGAGGCGCTCAAGAGAGATCGGCAGATGCAGGACGAGACGGTGAGACCCTCATCCAGGGCTACATTTGAGTTTCTTAAATATTAACACAATTCAAATTAATTGATTTCTAAAGGCAATGCTTGATATGGCCACAAGAGGGCGCAATATAAACCAGATCCAGCACTGAAATTACATTCTCTTTTTAAAGTGCATTAACTTTTTAACCAATTGTTCTTAAAATATAATTTCCTTAATGTGCATGCAGGGAAAATGAGGTTAATATTAGTGCATAAAACTGTAAGTGTGACAGTGACCTGAGAAAACACACTTCAACACACAGCGTAAGGAACTACATGAACACACACCGGCAAACTGGCCTTCAGAAACACTCCAGTTCCACTCAGTACATCTACACACTGATCACACACACACCAGATGCTCTAGATCTGAGACGGTGTTTCCTGCTGATGATCTCACACACACAAGCCTTTTCCTGCCCCTTTTCATATTAACAACATGGCCACACCGCGCTCTACTGGATAAGCTAACAAACTGAATGTGCCAGCTACGTCATCTCACACACCAAACATTCAAATGCATGGTTTCTGCGTTCGACTGTGCAGTCTAAAAGAATCACATCTTTATTTGACACTTCTGTTAATCCCCCACGATCCCCAGTTGGTGGAGCTGCGAGAGCGTCTGCTGTGTGCGGAGAACGAGAGCGGTCTGCAGGAGTTGCAGAGCAGTCTGGCCTCCGTCAGTGAGGAGCGAGAGCAGCTCCTGGAGATCCTGAAGCTCAACCGAGAGGAGAAGAACCAGCTGAGGAGAGACCTGGAGGAGAAGGACCAGATCGTGAGTAAAGGGATAGTTCACACACTCATGATTTACTCTCCCTCAAGTTATCCTAGGTGTGTCTGATTGGATTTGTCTGAAAGAAAAATGTCAGAGTTCTATAAAAAAAAATGAATGTCCTGGCTCTTCCAAGCTTTATAATGGGAGTCAATGGGTATATATTTTTAAAATTCGTTTAACCCCCATAATAGGTGTTTTTGAAGCTTCTCTATTGGTTGTTTAAATTATCTTGGGGTCAGAAAATTTTAAGAATTGCTGATTACTCTCTCTCTCAGATGCTGCAGCTTCGTGAGGATCTTCTGTCGTCTTCCGAGAGAACCGGAGAGAAGATGAAGATGGCTGAAGCTAACGCTAGTGCCCTAGCTGAAGCTAACGTTAGCGCTCTGACTGAGGAGCGAGACCGGCTCCTGGAGTCTCTGCAGGTCCTCAGAGACGAGAGAGAGCAGATCCTGAGAGAGCAGCAGGAGACGCTAGCGGCACTGAAGACGGCTGAAGCTAACGCTAGTGCCCTAGCTGAAGCTGAAGCTAACATTAGCGCTCTGACTGAGGAGCGAGACCGGCTCCAGGAGTCTCTGCAGGTCCTCAGAGACGAGAGAGAGCAGATCCTGAAAGAGCAGCAGGAGACGCTAGCGGCGATGAAGACTGATGAAGCTAACGCTAGTGCCCTAGCTGAAGCTGAAGCTAACATTAGCGCTCTGACTGAAGAGCGAGACCGGCTCCTGGAGTCTCTGCAGGTCCTCAGAGACGAGAGAGAGCAGATCCTGAGAGAGCAGCAGGAGACGCTAGCGGCACTGAAGACGGCTGAAGCTAACGCTAGTGCCCTAGCTGAAGCTGAAGCTAACATTAGCGCTCTGACTGAAGAGCGAGACCAGCTCCTGGAGTCTCTACAGGTCCTCAGAGACGAGAGAGAGCAGATCCTGAGAGAGCAGCAGGAGACGCTAGCGGCGATGAAGACTGATGAAGCTAACGCTAGTGCTCTGGCTGAAGCTGAAGCTAACATTAGCGCTCTGACTGAGGAGCGAGACCAGCTCCTGGAGTCTCTGCAGGTCCTCAGAGACGAGAGAGAGCAGCAGGAGACGTTAGCAGCGATAAAGACTGCTGAAGCTAACGCTAGTGCCCTAGCTGAAGCTGAAGCTAACATTAGCGCTCTGACTGAGGAGCGAGACCGGCTCCTGGAGTCTCTACAGGTCCTCAGAGACGAGAGAGAGCAGATCCTGAGAGAGCAGCAGGAGAAGAGCGAGATGGTGAGACGCTTCCCTTTGATACTCGTACGGACTATTAAAGGAGACGTGTCATGAAAATCAGAGTTTTCCCGTAGCGTTTGCATTTAAAGGGACACACACAAAAACAGTGTTTTTGTTTTGGCAGATGGAGCTGTTGAGGCAAGGGCTTCAGTCCGCGTGTGCCGAGAGAGACCGTCTGATGTCAGAGAGAGACGCTGCATGCAACCAATCCAGCGCCTCCGTCAGTGTGACATCACTGAGTGAGGGAGGAGACCTTCAGGAGATCCTGCAGGGCGTCAGAGAGGTAACACCACATGACTATGGGGCTCTCTCATACAGCAGGAACTCTGGAGTGACGCGAGACGCGCTTGTTGTTTATTTTGACAGCGGTGGGAACGCCAGAGCTCACGTTCACCTGTTCTTTAGTGTACAACGCACAACGCAACGGGAAACCAGTTACAATAAACGCTAATATAATAAGAATGGTTAATTTTGATTTCATGATGAATATTGTTTACTCTGGTGGGGTGTGTGCCTTTCTGAAGGAATGAAGCTGTTTAAGTGTGTGTTCTCCATAAATCTCTCCTCAGCTGATCCAGGTCCAAGGAGAGCTCAAACAGAAGAAACACCAGGAGTCAGATCCCATGAGCCACCGAGCTCAACTTCAGCAGGTACAGGCTCAACGTCTGTGTTCTCTGTCTCTCTCTCTCTCTCCCTATATATATTAGAGCCTGACCGATAAAAGATTTTGAAGGCCGATACCGATACAAATATTTTTGGGTTTTAAAATCCGATATATCGGCCGATTATTATTAATTTTTTTATTAAATATTGTTGGATTTGTAACGTGTAACGGACGTGTAAAAGAAAAGCTAACTTTTCTGCACAAGATACGTTTGATACTTTTTCTCTATGTCTAAATGTTCACTCCTCAAAAGTATAACTTACATTTTACAATGCAGGGACTGTAACTAGAGATATGCTAGTTATAAATACAGTAATCATTACTTTATTAAGGCAGAAAAAGTTCATTGTGGTTTCCAAGCTCATTAATGTTAACGTTAGCGGTCTTCCACTGATGATAGTGGCATTAGCTAGCTTTTTGGTTAGCTAGTCTATGATGAGCCATAATTTAGCAATAGTTAACATCATACTGCAAGTAAAATATACATTTTTATATACATTAAAATATACATTTTCAATATAACAGGCCAAGGAGAGATGATTGTAGCATGTTTCGTCCGTTTTTGGTTTTTTTAAAAATATTCATTTATCGGCCATTATGACTGCTGATACCGATATTTTGGAAAAAGCTTAATATCGGTCGGCTGATATATCGGTCTGGCTCTTATATATATATATATATTAAAATAAAATGGAGCCGTGTTGCAATGAGTCCATCAAACCGCTCTCACTCCCGTAAAGGCCCCGATATACTTTGTAAATGGATGAACGTTCTGGCATGATGTGATTTAACAAGATCAAGTCAATAACAAGGTTATTTTGTGGAGTTCGAAACAAAGTGAACTTCCTGGAAACGGCCAATAGCATTTGGTTTAGCTCACACACTGGAAGCGGCTCCGAGCGCTGATGATGCGCTGGATTCAACAGTAGATGTGGATAAACTCTAGGCATTTCATTCCGAAACCGCTATAAAACTGGAGCGTTTGAGCAACCAAGTGGTGTTTATAGCAGAGGGGCGGGGCTTCAGATTCTAGAGAGCGTTTAATTGGACCGAAGATGTGATGTCATAAAATGTTTTGAATTTTGAATGCTTATCTCCTAAATGCGATTGTTTTGGAAGCGTATTCAAAACCTTAAGACTAAAAGCTAAAAAACTAATTGATTTCAGAGGGCTTTTAATGTAGGAAAAGTGCAACCAGTTTGATCACTCACAATTCCCATCCCTCATGTTGTGCGGTTGTCCAGATTCAGGCCCTGACGGAGGAGCTGGAGTCTCTGAGGAGTCGGAGAGAGCGGATCCAGACGGACCTTCAGGAGGCAGCGGCGACTGTGAGCACTCATGCCATCGCTGTGACGTCAGCTGACATCCTCCACACCACTGACTGTTCTCGCTCTCTCCTGCAGTCTAAAATGTACCAGGATTTGCTCCACCTGAGTAAGGAGGAGCTGAAGCAGCAGCAGAAGGAGACGGCCGAACTGGTGGAGCGGAGCGCAGTGAACGAGGCACAGCTTCAGCACAAGGTGAACGAGAAAACACACGAGATTCCCTCACACGTCACGTGACGGCTGAATGATTCCATGCTGAATCTCTTATCCCCTTTCCTCTCAGTTGAGTCAGATGAGTGAAGATCTGTCGGCTTTGAGTGCCGTGCGAGACCAGCTCACCACCGAGATCCAGACCCTCCAAACGAACCTCAGCTCGCTCACAGGAGAGAAGGACGAGCTCCTGAAGACGCTGAGGAGAACGAGGGAGGAGCGAGATCAGCTGAGGCTCGATCTGCAGAAGAGTGAGCACACGGTGAGTGTTAATCTGGGCACTTGAACTCGCACTCAACGGCTCCTTTCAAGTGTGTGTGAGCGTGGATCATACCTCCAGGGACGTGTGTGTGTGTGAGCGTGGATCATACCTCCAGGGACGTGTTCACTGGTTAGTAAGCGCATGTTTGTGTTAACCCGGCTGTTCTCCACACAGCTGACACACATCGAGTCTAAAGCAGAGCAACTGGAGCAGCAGAAGATCCTGCTGGAATCTGAAGTCCACTCGCTCAGTCTGGTGAGTCTGATAACCAGATCTAAGCTTAGATTAGACATTCTGTCATTTACTCTCCCTCATATTCCAAACCCAGAATATTTGAACGTCAAATAAGATATTTCTTAAGAAACATGAGATGTTTTTGTCCCTCTAACCAGTGAGTTGCTTAAGGTTCTATATGCGATGCGCACTTTGTGTTTAAATGAATAAAAGCCTAATTTACTCAGTCATTTCCTCCCATGTTGTCCCATTTTTGGCTGAACTTTCCCTTTTAATGTTAACTTGTTTTTAAAGCGAGTGTCATTGTGTTTCAGTCTCTCACTGAGGTGAACGCTAGCGTGTCGGATCAGAGTAGCGCGCAGTCCAAACACCGCTCCGCACGCCTGGTTTCTGAGATTCATGCGTCTGAGGAGAAGCTGCAGGTAAATGTTGACGACTCTGAAACGTGTCGACTCAAAACTCTGACCAGAAATCTGACGTGGGGTTTTACTTCCATGTGAAGGCGGCTTTTGCGAAGCTCCAGCTGATCGTGGATCGACCCACTGACGCGCTACATGACGTGAACCGTGACGAATGGGCCGTGATCTTTCCGCTGATCCAGTTCATTCCAGTGGCGCAGAGAAACGTCCACGCGATGCACACAACAAAAACCACTAGACTGAACAACGTGCTGGTCAAGATGGCGGTAAGAGTCAGCAGAGACCTATCTCATTTGAACAATATACCGCAATACAAAAATGCTACTATGGATCGTGACTGTGTATAGTTTTATTGTCAAAACTTCATTAAACTACTATATATAATGCACTGTGTGAATATTTGTGGGCCTGAGAATGTCAGCTGTCTGTTACCAGTAAAGTGGCATACATTATTTTAAATATAGTCAGAGTGCAAGCATGTTTGTCTAACATAATTCTGCGTTTTCAGCTTCATAATTATGAATATTGTTATTCTGGTGTCTCTATTGTCCTGTGCTTTTGGTTTTATGTTGTGTGTGTAAATGAATAGACTTTTTAGCATTTAGCATTTTAAATCAACAGTACTTTTTTTTTTTGTTAACCTTTTACCATACGTCTTGGAGTATTCTCAATAATATCGCATCTTGACATGAGTGTATCGTTACACCGCTACTGTATTGTTAACGTAAGCGAAACTCTCTGTTGAAGGAGGCGTGCAGGAGACGAGCGCAGCGCTGCAAGACTCACTTCGAGACGGAGGTCCAGCGTGACGTGGCCTTGTTCGAGGAGTCCCGACTGCAGGACCTGCTCGTTCTCACGGCTCGGGCTCCGGCACAGGGTTCGCCCGCTCTTCAGGACGACCTACAGCAGGTCTGGGATCAGAGACTGACACAGCTGGTGGAAAGACGACAACAGTTCCTGCAGGTGGGGTCATGTTCAGTGTTTGGCAATGGGCCACCATCAAAAACCATTCACGTTTACTCATGAAAATACACAATCCAATATGACAGGAACAAGAAAATGGGTATTTAACACTATTGAGCTAATATTGGCACTATAGTCTTGTCTAGGGCTGCTTTATTGCTGATTTGATAGTTGTTCAGTTCAATAGTGTAAAAATTGGAAAAAAATCACTTTTGAAAATCATAAAGCAGCTCTAGAAAAGACAATTACTCAGCTTAGTTCAGTTCAATGTTGATTCAGTTACTTGATTTTTGCAAGATTGACACTATTGAACTTGTGAACATAAGCTGAATAATTGTCCCCTCTACAATTTTTCATAGTCATTGAAATGAATTGAATCAACATTAAACTGAGTTGAGCTTTCATAATTGACACTTTTGTTCTGAGAAGCTGCTTTGAATCAATCTATATTATATAGGTGAATTAGCTGTTCTGCATTTGAGATAAACAAGCCTGTCTTAATTGAAATATATTTTTTTTAAAAATTAGAAATTTGGTTTTCATAGAAATATTCCACACCCAGTTTCCTAACTGATGACGAGGACTTGACAGCAGCCATCAAGTGTTAGAATTATTGCTTATTTATTATAATTTTTTTGTAACTTTTTTTCAGAATTAAGTGCTTGTAAATTATTTATATCATCTGTACGTTTTTTTAATTGGTATGTTTCATTAAAGCCCCCAAATAAAAGTAAAGCTGAGTATCATCAGTGTCGCGGTGAAAACTAACGTGTTTAATAATGATATCTCCCAAGGGTAGCATGTACATGTACGGTCCTAGTACTGAGCCTTGTGGTACTCCATACTGATGAATGAATAAATGAGTTGACTGCAGTTTTCCATGTTGAAATAAGTGTCTTATTTTATGTTCATCAGAAATTGGAGTGTGTTCTGAGGGTCCTAGAGGACGGTGTAGCCAAACACTCGGTGCTCGTGTCAGAGGAGCGTCAGCACAGGACTCGTGCGCTCTCGGATCTCAAGGCTCTGCTAACGTCTCCTCAGTCCGCCGCTATTATACAGCTCCACGAGCAACAGATCACGCGTCGCACTAAAGCCGTCGAGCTTCTGAATGCACATTATATTGTGAGTAATGCATGTTTCGAAATGGTTTTATCTGTTTTCGTCTTGCTGCTCTTTCCTGACCAATCTGTGCTCGTCAACAGGCTCTGATGAACGACTGCGAGTCTGAGATCTCGCCGCTCTTGTCGTCGTCGTCTGAGTCTGAGCGGCGGCTGAAGGATCTGAAAGAGAGACTGCGACTCTGCTGAAAGCGCTGAACGGCACCCTTCCCAAAGCTGAGGCCGAACTCCTGCAGGACAATCTCAGTCTGACGCTGCGGCTGCAGCAAACGCAGAAGCAGGTGGAGGTACGCGGCGGGTCTAATGTGCATCTTATTGTGAACAATTCATCCATGCATATGTTGGTGCACATTCACTCTACTAAAGCATAAAAATACCATCTTTGCAGATATTTAGGTTAAGTTCACATCTTTGAAAAACACCTCTAAAGCCAGTTATTTTACTTATTACATGTTCAGTGTTGTCAGTCGGTTTTTGTATTGTGGCTCAAACACAGCGTATTGCAGATTCCACACAACCTAAAAATCCTCGAGAGCATAATAAAACATGGATAAATCAACTTCTCCTTGGCTTTCATTGTCAAGGGATCTCTGATATTTAGATTTTGGACTGCAGTACCGGTTTCGTCCACTAGCTGTAATTGTACCTTGTAATTGAAAAAAAAAAATTCAAGATTGGATCTTCTGGTGAAATTAGAATTTTTTTTTTTCTCTCTTTTTTTTACTAATATCCACAAAAATGAATCAATGTTATTACAAATTCATTGCTTATTGGTGGGTAGTTTGAGTGTGTGATGGTGAAGCGCTCCCCGTTGTGTGTCTGGCAGGAGGTTCTGGAGCAGACGAAGGACCTGAAGCTTCAGGCGGACTCAGCTCACCGGACACGGCTCCAGCTCCAGGAGCTCAGTGCCCAGCTGAAGCAGAAGCAAGGCCTCGTTTACAGCCTGGAGGCTAAACTCAAAGAGGCAGAGGTTCGTATGAATCCCTCAATAACCTCATGTGTTGTTCTTGCTACCATGTTTTTTTTTTTTTTTAAATTATTTATTTATTTATTTATTTACTTATTTTTTATTATTGATTTTCTGTTTCATTTTGGAAAAAAATGATGATGTAGGACAAGGACAAATATGTTGTATAATATGACAAAGTGTATTTTATGTCTTGAAACGTCAATAAAAATAAATAAATAAATAAATAACCTCATGTGGCTCAGCTTCGGCTGTGATTGGATATCTGGAGTAACCAATGGCTTCGCAGCATCTCTAATGTTGGTTTGGTGTTTCTGAAAGTCCGAGTGAAGGGGTTTATTCCCTCCAGAAGCGTCTCACACACACACAAAGTTAAACTCGCAACTTGTGATGCTAACACTGCTAGCGTCACGGCTGCAACACCGCCAGATGTTTTTCACCTGTGGTTTGTATCTCTCCGCCTCATGCTTGGTATTTCTCCTTAAATTTGTCGTGCAGGTCCAGTTTAAGAGGAACATGACACCGGCTGCCGCTGAACTCGCTGACTTGAAGGACAAACTCGTCAAAATGGAGCTGGATCACATCGCAGTCTCCACCAGCCATGAGAAGGAGTGAGTGCTGTGACTGGAGCCTGTTAGCGTCGTGCAGATCCGAGACTGGGGAGAGTGTGTAACGTTTGCTGTGATTCCTTCCTCCTAGAATGGCCCAGATGAGCTCCATGTTGGAGCACCGAGCCGACGTGATCCGCAAGCTGAAGGAGAGCCTGAGGAAGAAGCAGCAGGACGACGAGCAGTCATGTGAGCGAGTCTAGTCTGTGTAGAACTGAACGATCACATGGTCAAATGCTTTGAAAGACCCTGAATTCATTTTTATATTTTTAAAGTACTCTTAGTTTAACTTGTTTAACTTTGTTGTTTTGAAGGGCATTGACAATTTATTTTGGGTGAGCTAGCCCTTTAAGAGGAATGGATTCAGTGTTGTCATGTGACTTCTATAAGTGTTGTAAATGTGTTCTGCAGTCGCAGACGGGGACGAGTTTGTCCTGAATTTGGGCTCAAACACCAGAGCAGTCTCGTCCCTCAAAGAGAAGGTGGAGGAGCTTCAGAAGAAGAACGCTCAGTTTGAGAGGTAACCGCACTGCTACATCACTTCCTGTCTGCGGTTTAGATCTCTGCGTTTCAGAGTGGCCTGAATCCTCTAAAGTGTGTGAACGCCATACAGGAGTGACTCTAGATGTGGCGAGCAGCATGTTTCAGTTATTGGCTGTAAATGAACTGATGTCAGCAAACGTTGGTGTTATCGCTCGGCGATATGAACAAAATATATCTGTGTGTTTTTAGGATGAGTTGTGACTACACACACTACCAGTCACAAGTTTTGGATCAGTACAATCTTGTTTTTAAGAAGTCCCTTCTGCTCACCAAGGCTACATTTGATTTAATAAAAAAAAATAATATTATTCTAATGTAAATCATCTGTTGTCTATGTGAATATACAGTAAAGTGTAATTTATTCCTGTGATCAAAGCTAAATTTATCATCATTACTCCAGTCTTCAGTGTCACATGACCCTTCAGAGATCATAATATATTTAACAATATTACTCTTATTTTTTTTAAAAAAAATCAAATAAACGCAGCTTTGGTCAGCAAAAAAGACATTTGAAAAACATTAAAAATCGTACCCATCCAAAACTTTTGACGAGTAGTGTGTGTGTGTGTATATATTTACGGTCCTAACCCTCATGAACCGCGTGTCGTCCTGTAGTCTGGTGAGCAAGCAGCAGGAGGAGCTCCACAAGTGGAAGCGGCGAGCGTATAAGATCAAGGAGAGCGTGAGAGACGCTCCATGCACTCCGAAGAAGCGGCAGCCGCCCCTGAGCCAGACCGAGGTCAACTCCCCGAAGAGAGCCTTCGACTCGCCCAAGAGCAAGATCTTCGACTCGCGCTCCAGCGCTCCCCTCGCCCTCGGACGGCCCACGCAGTTCTTCGACAACTCCAGCCTCGGGACCATGCCAGGTACCCCTCCTGCACCCTGACCCCACTGCTGACCCTTACCCTGACCCTGACCACACAGCTAACCCTTACCCTGACATCATCCTAGAGCTAGTGGGGTGACTGAGTTCAAAAATGCTAATTAGAGCTGCAGGATTAATCGTTTAAAGATCGGACCTTATTCCTCGGTGATGACGAGTTCATCCAGTTCATCAAGTCTTCAAACGAGTCATCGAATACTGGAATGATTCGTTCTGATTGAACGATGCATTTAATGATTTCGTCAGAATCTCTAGTGATTTCCATCTTATTGTTTTATCTGATCTCTATTTAGTATCTTTGTCCAGAATTGTGTGGAAGTAAATAATAAAATTAAAGTTTCACTATTAAAAAAAAAGAAACTGAAGCTATAGGCCTGTCACGAAAAACTGAAGACCGGAAGTACGTCCTTTAGTAGAGATACGGCTCTTCCGGTTGGCTTTTTACAACGGTGGAGTCCGATAGATACCGCTGGAGCAAATCTCTCCGCGACCTGCCTGAAGTCACATGACGATGTGGTTCGGATGGTAAAGTGGAAACTCGTGAAAGCTGAGTAAAGCTCGTCACTACACACACACACACACACGTTAGGCACGTGAATGACATGCATCACTCGGGAACCAGTGCTGTGTGTTTTTAATTGGACATGTCTGGCGCTGGAGTTCACATGCTGTGTGTGTGTGTTGTCAGAGGTGTCGTGTTCGTCGGCCGGGCCGCTCCTGGACTCCTCTGACAGTGATGATGAGGGTAATCTGCGTGTGTGTGTGTGTGTGTTTTGGGGTTCTCACTAAACTGCTGTGGGGACACTGTGTATCACTGGGGGTTCAGAGGGATATGAAATCCTGCCGAATATGAGTCTCACTCCTGATTGGCCGGTTGTGTGGCGGGTTCACGCGCGTCACTGGGGTGTTACTGGAGTTTCACTTCCTGGCCCATGTGAGGGTTAAACGATGATTAACGCTCGTACGGTATTGGTGATCTGACACTGAGAACTCTACAGCTTGAGCTGAATTTTTTTTTTTTTTTTTTTTTTTTATTATTCAAAAATTGCTTTACAATAGTGCAAACATGCACCTCTTAAACATCTGGATCATTTCAACAATGTATATATTGATCAAGTAGAATCATTCTTGCATAAACAGAATAAAGAAAGAAAAAAGAGTGAAAAAAAGAAACAGACAAAACAAACAAACAAAAAAAATAAAATTAAAAAATTAACAGATAGGCTACTAATCATCTTGGTACATGAAAGATCTCTAATGCCTTCAACTCTACACCAGATGATGTCATTCAGCACAACTTATTCAGTTCGGGTCAACGGTCCATGCTCAAACTCAGCAGCGTCATTATTCAGATCTTATGAATAGTTAAGAAAAATGCAGCTCTGCTGTGAAGCATCTCTACTAATAGAACTTTGTAACATTGAGACTAATTAAACTTAATTGAATCAACATCGGGCTGAATAATATTAATAGAACTTTTCATAATTGATGAACTTTTGCAGTATTGACCGTTACTGAATTGAATAAGTTGATCTGAATAATGTCTCCTGTAGAGCTGCTTTACAGAATTAATGTAATTTCATAATGATTAATAGAAATGAATGTCGTTTCAGAGTCCAGCGCCGCCGTGGGGTCGAGCGCCGCAACTCTCGACGACTGGTGGCAGATTCCCAGCGCTTCTGCCTCGGAGCCCGACGCTGATGCTAACGTGAACGCCAACGCCTGTCCGACGCAGTGACGGCACTGATGCTAACGTGAACGCCAACGCCTCTCCGACGCAGTGACGGCACTGATGCTAATGCGAACGCCAACGCCTGTCCGACGCAGTGTGAACGCTAACGCATTGACGATGCTAACGTGAGCGCTAACGCCCTGATCTTCTAAACTCAGTCGCTGTCTGTCCATGAAGAAACTTCATTTCTTTTTTTTATGTTGTTATGTTTTCTGTAAATAAAGTCTATGTTTTTTCAAAGAGTATTCTTCCGCTTGATTATTGAAATCCATTATTGTGTTTCAGTGGGATCGAATGTTTATGGTTCATGAAGTTGCTTCAAACCTCTTTTTTTTAAACTGGGGTTAGAAGAAAATGTAAAAATAAAAATACAAATATTAAATGCATTTAATTTAAATTTAAAACAAAATACGTTTGGTTAAAAAATTATTTCAATCAATCGAGTAGATATTTTTCTGTTTTTAAGATGTATTTAGACGAGTGTTGTCATTCAAAGTCTGTCTTCAAAAACTTAACAGTCAAGCCAGAGAATGTCTAAAGCTTTAAGGTCTTTCTTTTGAACCCCGTAAAATAGATTATACTGTGTGTGTGCTCGTGCGCGCGCCCCGCTCGTGCGTCACCGTCAGCTCCTCAGTCGCGTGAGTTTTTGTTGTCAGTCCCGCGCGCGACACTTTACCTGAGAGGAATTATTAAAAACACGGAGGAAAATATAAACTTTATTTTGTGGATAAGATTCTGTGTGTGTGTGTGTGTGTGTGTGTAAGATCAGACGCGATGCAGCAGAACGCGCCGCAGACCAACGCGGATCCAGCGGGTGAGTTATTATAAATTAATCATGTTATTAGAGTGTTTGTTCTTTATAATAACATATCCGATCTGTAATAACTGTCCAACTGAAGAGGAAGTTTATAAACCCCACAGATATATTTCATTAAGAATAAACACTGCGTTTTGTGTTCTTTATTTGTATAGGTGTCATGCATTTAAAATCATTTATTTAAAAGGTGAATTTATTCTATTGAAAAACTAAGTATTATTTATAATAGCTGTATCATGCATGAAGTGAAGGCGGAGGAGTTTTTTTTTACTTGTTTTACTTTTAATCCTCAGTTATGCGTAATGATAGTTTTGCATTTTGTTGTATTTAACATAACACACTAATGTTCGACACGTTTATTGTCCGTGTGTTTCTAATGTAAGCCAATTATATTTGTGTATTAAATCGTTTCACGGTAGTTTTTACAGATGGAAATGTTTATAATATCTTCACATTCAATCACGTGAGATTTGCTATAAAGCGGACCGTTCTCTCGAATATTAACAAACGTTCGTTCAAAGTTATTGGTGTTTAATAATGTTCTGAAAGCATTGGCAGGAAACATTATTTATACGTCATTCATGGAACGTTTTTTCGCGAAACATTTTAGTTGTATGTCTGTTTAACGTGTTTTAAAGGTTGCTTTTTCAAAAGTCACATTCCAATAGTTTTAGCAAAATGATCACATGGAGGGATAGTAAGCTCAAAAATAAAAATAATCCCATAATTTACTCGTTCTTTGAATTTATATAATTACAGCTCAAAAAAGTGCCTCATCATCATAACTTTATAAACTATAATCACTGACTTCCAGTAACGGCCGTACACGAGTCAAGTTCCAGTGTAAGACTGACCTCTGACCCAATGCGTGATGTATGAGCATCAGGTGAAAGTCGACGCCTCTATCATTCAGACAAACTCAAGCTCCTCCCACTTTTCTCTTTATAAATCCTATTTTTAGACTCTAATTAGTGATCTGTTTTTTTTTGTTTTGCCCCATCCTCTGTGTTCGTCATGCATCGGGTCAGAGGTCACTCTTCCGCTGGAACTAGACTCTGATTATACTGATTATAGTTTATAAAGTTATGAATATGGATGTGTTTCTCAGCTTCAGAAGGCCTGTATTAACCCCTGCAGGCATGATGATGATGATGATGAGCATTTTAGGGCTTCAAAATCTCCTCCATTCACTCCCATTATAATCACTAATGATCTTTACAACGAAGTGAATCAATCAAAACTAACTTTATCTGCACATTAACTTTATTCTAGATCTGTTCTCTGTGACTGTAAAGCTGCTGTGAGACTCTATAGTGTTAAAGCGCTGGATAGATGAGGAGACGTGACAACATAAAGCAGTCCAAGACGTGTGTGTGTGTGTGTGTGCAGATGTGTTCGTGAAGCGCCGGCGGACGGCTCTCTGGTGTTCCGTGTCTCTGTTCGGACTCTCGGTTCTGGTTCTGGTGGTCGGGCTCCTGTCGGCCACACACACGGATAACGTGGCCGTGTCTGGATACTATCCCGGGATTATAGTGAGGAGAACTTCACACTTCATTACTTTAATGAACTCTGTGTTTTGTCCTTTCATTTGTGCAATAAAACACCAGGACAGCAGCAGTGTGAGCCTTAAAGGTGCAGTGTGTGATATCCAGGAGGATCAGAGGTGTGTAAACCCTTACATAATGAAGCGTTGTGAGTTTATTAGCTTAGATTGAGCGTTTCTCTCTACACACACCGCGGGTCCGCTTACACCACGTTTCTACGGTGGCCCTGAGCGGACAAATGTGTTTATGTTGTTCTTCATACAAAGAAGCGAAACTAAAGTCAGCAAATACAAAACTGAGAGTAACAATATTATTCGCAATAACGTCAATTTACTGAATAATAAAGTAAAAACAATCTCTTGGAAACCGTTGTTTAACTGGCGTCTCTCTGCCGTCTCAGACGATCACCGTAACATCTGTTGAGTGCGATTCACAACCTCGCCACTAGATGCTGCTAAAATCACACGCTGCACCTTTAAAGTCTGTCATTATTCGGCTGCATTATTTTCATTAAAGATTAAGTTGAAGTTGTGATTGACTGTTGTTCTGTCCTCTCGTAAACGGCAGCTGAGCTTCGGAGCGTTCCTGGGAGTCGTCGGTCTGAACCTGGTGGAGAATCGCAGGCCGATGGTGAGTACCACTTCAAACCTGCCAGAAATGTCTTCAGGTCTATTTCCGTCGCGGAGCATCGGCTCTCTGAGGGACGTAATGGCTCGTCAATACAATCACAGCCTGTGTATTTCAGGTGCTGTCTGTTTCTGTGCTTGTGAAATATAGTTGGGATAATGTTACCCGTGAGAGATGGGCCAGTGCACTGTGTTTATGCCCATCCGCTGTCAGATCGATGAGCGCGATTGGACACGCGCTCGGTAATGCGGAGCGTAATTGGCTGACAGATCAGGTGAAGTTTTGGGTAAATCAGATTAGCATTGATGACTAGATGAAGCGTCCGACCTTCAGTGCCTGTCCTGATTAACTCAACGCATCACCAGACAGATCTAAAACTCACCGCCATGATGCAACTTTAATGTGGTTGCTAAGGTGTTGCTATGAGACTATAATGTGTCATGTGTGGTTACTAGGGTGGTGTTATCCAACCACACAGTATAGTCACAACCACACTGAATGCATTCGCCACATAGTAACACCCTAGCAACCACACAAAACACTTCAGTCACATAGCAACACCTTAGTAACCATATTGAACACATTAGTCACAAAGCAAAACACTACCAACACACAAAACAGTCACATACCTTAGTAACCATATTGAACAGTCACATAGCAACACCCTGGCAACCACAAAGCACATATTACGGTCACGTAGTAACACCTTAGTAACCACATAGAACGCATCAGTCCCAAAGCAAGCACACAACACCATGCAGTCACAGAGCAACAGCTTAGTTTCCACATTGAGCACCCTAGCAACCACACAAAACACTTTAGTCACATAGCAACACCTTAGTAACCACATTGAGCACATTAGTCACAAAGCAAAACCCAAGCAACCACACAAAACAGTCACATACCTTAGTAACCATATTGAACAGTCACATAGCAACACCCTGGCAACCACAAAGCACATATTACGGTCACGTAGTAACACCTTAGTAACCACATAGAACGCATCAGTCCCAAAGCAAGCACACAACACCATGCAGTCACAGAGTAACAGCTTAGTTTCCACATTGAGCACCCTAGCAACCACACAGAACACATTACAGTTGCATAGCAACACATTAGTTACCACATTGAACACATTAGTCACAGCAACTCCTTAGCAACCACACAGGAGACAGTATAGTCACATAGCAACACCCTAGCAACTACACTGAATGTATTCGTCACATAGTAACTCCCTAGCAACCACGCAGAACACATTAGTCACATAGCAGCACCTTAGGGACCAGATTGAAAGCATTAGTCACATAGACACACCCTAGTAACCACAAAGAATACAGTACAGTCACATAGCAACAGCTTAGTTTAAACCTTGAACATATTAGTCACATACTATAAGCACCCTAGCAACTGCACTGAGCACATTGCAGACACATATTTACACCTTAGCAACCACACAGAATACAGTCGTCACATAGAAACACCTTAGCAACCACATTGAATGCATTGGTGTTGCTTTGTGACTAATGGATTCTGTGAGGTTGCCAACACACACCCCATCAGACTGATACCGTAGTGAAGGGAAGTTGTGTGTCTGTAACCATGGAGACGTGTCGTTAGTCTGCGAGACGTCAGCGTGTGATTTAGGCTTCTGTTGTGTCCTGAGCTCTGATCCCAGTACACGCTTTAACATTTAATGAGCAGACACACACTCATTCACAAAATCAACATGCACACGCTTCGTTACACAAGGCGGTTCTATAGGTACACACACACACACACACACACACACACACAGTAAGCGGAGACCCGGCGCTCAGATGAACACATTAATGTGCAACAGCCCGTATCACACTGCAGCTTTAGCCCTCATTTCCTGAAGACACAGTCCCGTGACCTCTGACCCCTCGGAGATTAGAGGAAGTGACCAGAACATTGTCGCCAGAGAGTTTGGAGGTCAAACGCTGCAGAAGCACGACTGTAATGGAACGAGCCGTCAGGATGATGATGATTCAGATGTTCTCGTATCATCGCCTTCCGCCTCAGAGAACAAGCTCCTGGAGTTATGTAGCGCTTCGTTCGTTAGAGGTAAACCCTCGCGACCTCTCAGGAAAGACAGTCTCGTTCTCAGTGTGAAGAACATTTCCATCATCTAAAGGTCATTTCTTCACTATGAAGAAACTTTAGTGCAGTCCGATGTGCTTCCATCAAAGAAGCTTTAATGAATCAGAATCGTTCATTTCTTCACGACTCAGCGTTCATGCTTGTTTGAATCAGAATCGTTCAGTTCTTCACGACTCAGTGTTCATGCTTGTTTGAATCAGAATCGTTCAGTTCTTCACGACTCAGTGTTCGTGCTTGTTTGAATCAGAATCATTCAGTTCTTCACGACTCATTGTTCATGCTTGTTTGAATCAGAATCGTTCAGTTCTTCATGACTCAGTGTTCATGCTTGTTTGAATCAGAATCGTTCAGTTCTTCACGACTCAGTGTTCATGCCTGTTTGAATCAGAATCGTTCAGTTCTTGACGACTCAGCGTCCATGCTTCTTTGAATCAGAATCATTCAGTTCTTCACGACTCAGTGTTCATGCCTGTTTGAATCAGAATCGTTCAGTTCTTCACGACTCAGCGTTCATGCTTGTTTGAATCAGAATCGTTCAGTTCTTCACGACTCAGTGTTCATGCTTGTTTGAATCAGAATCGTTCAGTTCTTCACGACTCAGCGTTCATGCTTGTTTGAATCAGAATCGTTCAGTTCTTCACGACTCAGTGTTCATGCCTGTTTGAATCAGAATCGTTCAGTTCTTCACGACTCAGCGTCCATGCTTCTTTGAATCAGAATCGTTTAGTTCTTCACGACTCAGTGTTCATGCCTGTTTGAATCAGAATCGTTCAGTTCTTTACGACTCAGCGTTCATGCTTCTTTGAATCAGAATCGTTCAGTTCTTCACGACTCAGTGTTCATGCCTGTTTGAATCAGAATCGTTCAGTTCTTGACGACTCAGCGTTCATGCTTCTTTGAATCAGAATCGTTCAGTTCTTCACGACTCATTGTTCATGCTTGTTTGAATCAGAATCGTTCAGTTCTTCACGACTCAGTGTTCATGCTTGTTTGAATCAGAATCGTTCAGTTCTTCACGACTCAGTGTTCATGCTTGTTTGAATCAGAATCGTTCAGTTCTTCATGACTCAGCGTTCATGCTTGTTTGAATCAGAATCGTTCAGTTCTTCACGACTCAGTGTTCATGCGTGTTTGAATCAGAATCGTTCAGTTCTTGACGACTCAGCGTTCATGCTTCTTTGAATCAGAATCATTCAGTTCTTCACGACTCAGTGTTCATGCCTGTTTGAATCAGAATCGTTCAGTTCTTCACGACTCAGCGTTCATGCTTGTTTGAATCAGAATCGTTCAGTTCTTCACGACTCAGTGTTCATGTGTGTTTGAGTTGTGAAGAACTGAACGATTCTGATTCAAACACACATGAACATCTTGACTCAGTGTTCATGTGTGTTTGTAAATGTCCCCAACTAAGCAAACCACTGGTGACTGTGTGTGTGTGTGTGTGTGTGTGTGTGTTTTAACTGTTAATCCCTCGTGCTGGTGTTAGTCAGCAGAGCTGGTGTAGACTGGTTTAGACTGGTCTGACACTGGAGTGGTCACTGTAAGCAGAGAGCCGGTGTAGAGTTTCTGACATGGATCTTCTCACATGCATCTTTAAAGCGTCCGTGTTCAAAATCTGTTGCGCTAGCTCTCAAACTCTTCAGACGCAACACGTCACCTCTCTCTCTCTCTCTCTCTCTCTCTCTCTCTCTCTCTCTCTCTCTCTCTCTCTCTCTCTCTCTCTCTCTCTCTCTCTCTCTCTCTCTCTCTCTCTCTCTGAATGCAAACCAATAAAACACACCATCAAATATCCATGAAAAAATCAATTAAATCAAAATTAAAAATACTTTTTTATGATGTGATTGTGTTTTCCCATCATCCCGCTTTGGTTGACGCACTAACGCTGTTGATTCAGTGTGTGTGTGTGTGTGTGTGTGTGAGATGATGATGATGATGTGGTTTGGATTGATGTCAGTGTTAGTTTCAGCTTTAATGAGCTCAGAGGACTCGTTTTATTGGCTCGTTCTGGAGGTCATGTGATGTTTTCGTCTGGTTGGTTTATCACCAATGAATTTAGTTAGCGTAATTAAGCAGGAAAAGACACGGTCGTAAAGCTGCAGCTCATTAACGAGTGATGGATGTGGATCTGTGAGGCGCTGTTAGCATGAGAGCGTGTTAGCCGTGTTTCGTTGACTGACACACACCTGTGGACTCTGAGCTTACACACGTCACATGACAGACTGAGCTTTATTTCATGTGTAATGAACTGAGTTTCAGAATACATCAGAATATCAGTGACGATATGTGCGTGAAAAATATGAAAAACATCACAACCGCTGCTCTTTAACATCCATAGAAATAAAGAAATTACAGAACATCCCAAACCATCACACACACAAACCAAACAACATCAACAAATCTCACACTCTCTTCTGATTGGCTGTAGTTTGTGATTGATCTGGTGGCGAATGCAGTCAGCTGAAGAGACTCCGCCCACACTCTCTTCTGATTGGCTGTAGTTTGTGATTGATCTGGTGACGAGTGCAGTCAGCTGAAGAGACTCCGCCCACACTCTCTTCTGATTGGCTGTAGTTTGTGATTGATTTGATCACATCTGTTTGGACAGTGTAAGGCTGTGTCAAAAACCAACATTATCTGTTTTTATGAATATACCATCACCGTGTGTGGTGAGTGAGTGAGTGAGTGAGTGAGTGAGTGAGAGAGAGAGAGAGAGTATGTGTGAGTGAACGTGTGTGTCTCAGATGCTGTAAGAGTCACTGTGATCCGCTCGTGTGTGTGTGTGTGTGTGTGTGTGTGTGAGAGAGTTTTATCTGGTCAGTATTTACAGCTTCAGCTGCTCAGAGCTCTTGATTAAACACACCCAGCGACTTGATGGCACTCTGTGTGTGTGTGTGTGTGTGTGTGTGTGCGCGCGCCCCTGCGTGTGTCGTTCCTCTGCGGGACAGTAAATCACCCATAATGCACTGTGCCAGCAGACTCTACATTTACTTTATTACTACAGTCACAAGTTCACCTGCAGAACACACACACACACACACACACACACACACTTCTGCGGGGATGGGTTTGTGTGGTTGACCCCGCAGTTCGCATGTGTGTTTTATATTGAGCATCATGTTTGCACACACACACACACACACACACACACAACAGTGTTTGAGCTCGAGAACGCAAACTTTTGAAAGCGGATCCCGAAGTGTTGAACGTGATCATCTCTACATCAGCGTGAAGTTCGTCTTCTCTCCTCTATTGTGTCGTATATCGAGTGAAACGCTTCGTGGGCGGGGCTTGATTGTGTCTGTGGGAGTTGATTGGATGGTTGTGGTTTGCTATTGGCTGATCTCATGTGAGTGACAGGTTAAAGCCCCGCCCTCGTCATCACAGAAGAGAAGAGATGCTGATTCAAGATTATGAGGAACATGATGAATAATATACTGTATGCTGCAATATTCTCTAAATGTTGTTTAACGTGTTTGTGTCGTCAGCTGGTGGCGTCCATCATCTTCATCAGTCTCGGCGTGGTGTCGTGCTTCCTCTGCTCCATCATCGACGGCATCATCGCGGCCGAGTTCATCGTGAGTGTCTGCTCACATGTGTCTCTCTCTGCTCATGCAGAACACCACGAGTTACTCTGTGTGTGTGTGTGTGTGTGTGTAGGACAGGAGGCCGCTGATGGAGGGCCGCTGTGAGTTTTACTCCAGCTCTTCTTACTCCTACGACAGCTACTACACTGAGGTGTGTTCCTGCTCAGATCATGAACATTACTCGACCCTGCAGCGCTAACACTGATCACAACTGCAGGAATCAGCCGCTGATCGTGTGCTCTGTCTCCCTCTGCTGGTCACATGTGAACATTACATCCGTTTCATTCTTTTACATTTAATCATTTAGCATTGACGCTTTTATCTGAAGCCACTTACAAATGAGGAGAGCAATAGAAGCAGTGAAACGAGCTGTGACCCGTCCCAGTTTAGTCTAACACAGCACATGAACTTATTTTTATTTTATTTAGAATAGAAGAGATGTTAGTATTAAAGGAGTAGTTCACTTTTGAAAAAACGTTTGCTGATAATTTACTCGCCCCCATGTCATCCAAGATGTCCATGTCTTTCTTTCCTCAGTCGAGAAGAAATGAAGGTTTTTGATGAAAACATTCCAGCATTTTCTCCATATAATGGACTTCAATGGGGTTCAAACGGTTCAAGGTCCAAAAGACAGTTTCAGTGCAAACTGTTCAAAGGGCTTTAAACGACACCAGACGATGAATAAGGGTCTTATCGAGCGAAACGATCGGTTATTTCAAAACTTATTCCAAAAATGTAACTTTTCTAAGGACAAATGCTAGCCTTGCTCTATTCTGTGAGGCGCGTTTGTAACGTCACGTAATACGTAATTACGTTCAAAAGGTCACGGGCGACGTAGCCGGAAGTACAGAGTCAGTGTTTACAAGTTGAACGCATAGGTTGAACGTGCAAACTAACTCAAACGCCGTTTACAAAAAAAGGAATTAAAAGGTAAAACAACGACGTCGGACGATTTTGATTCTGTACTTCCGGCTACGTCGCCCGTGACCTTTTGAACGTAATTACGTAATACGTGACGTTACAAACGCGCCTCACAGAATAGAGCAAGGCTAGCATTTGTCCTCAGAAAAGTTACATTTTTGGAATAAGTTTTGAAATAACTGATCGTTTCGCTCGATAAGACCCTTATTCATCGTCTGGAATCGTTTAAAGCCCTTTGAACAGTTTGCACTGAAACTCTCATTTGGACCTTGAACCGTTTGGTCCCCATTGAAGTCCATTATATGGAGAAAATCCTGGAATGTTTTCATCAAAAACCTTAATTTCTTTTCGACTGAAGAAAGACAGACATGGACATCTTGGATGACACGGGGGCGAGTAAATTATCAGCAAAAGTTTTTTCAAAAGTGAACTCCTCCTTTAATAATCAAGTGTTGCCAATTGTCATTTAAAATATATACATTTCCATTTAAGTTTATTCATTTGTCAAACAATTATCCGACGTGAGGAACGTCTCAATCAGTCTGTCATGAAATCTACAATATTCCTAACACACAATGTGAAGTTTAAAGATCTTGTGTTGTCAGGTTCACTGTAATTCCTACGGTAACCCGTGTAAACTGAAGGTGAAGACCAACACCTGCTATTGCTGTGACTTATACCACTGCGACAGGTGAGTCCCTGCGCGTGTGTGTGTGTGTGTGTGTGTGTGTGTGCAGTAACAGTGTCTTTGTGTGTGTGTGTGTTAGCGTGGACTACAGCGGTCACTACTACGCGTTCACGGGCGTCAGCAGCTGCTGGGACGTGGTGAATCTGTACCGTCTGATGTGGGCTTGTGTGACGCTCAACATTCTCGGTGTGTTTCTGGGAATCATCACCGCTGCCGTACTGGGAGCCTTCAAAGACCTGGCGAGTCTTCCTAACATTCATGATTCAGTCTTATAACATTCACGATTCAACACATGATCAGCTCTCACATGATGTGTGTGTGTTTTCAGGCTCCTGTGGCTCACAGTCACATGACACCCAGTCCGGCTCCGCCCCCTCATATCCTGTACAATCCCAGTCAGCACATGATCTCCTACACCGGCTTCTGCCCGTCAGGACAAACGCTCCCCGCGTACCCCAACTACTCTCTGCCCATGCAGGTGAGCGTCTCTGTTGCCGCGGTGATGCTTCTACGCATCAGCATGGAATATTCATTAGAGCGGAAATGATTTTCATTAGATACAGAATGACATCACTGGTCAATCGCTAACACTGAGACTGAATTATTGCAAATGTCAAATTCTATTTTGTGTGTATTGTTTAGTGCTTTTCACATTACACTTCCTTTCAAAGCAGCTTTAAAGAACGTCATACTGTCACGCCAATGATGGAGTAATCCGTAATCTATTTACAGATGTAAACGTTGGATGTTTTTGCTTCTTTAACAGATTTAAACATCAGATGTTTTTTTTCATCAACAGATTTAAGCTTCAGATGTTTTTTTCGTTAACAGATTTAAACGTCAGATGTTTTTTTTCGTTAACAGATTTAAACATCTGATTTTTTTCGTTAACAGATTTAAACGTCAGATGTTTTTTTCCGTTAACAGATTCAAACGTCAGAAGTTTTTTTTCGTTAACAGATTTAAACGTCAGATTTTTTCGTTAACAGATTTAAACGTCAGATGTTTTTTTTCGTTAACAGATTTAAACATCTGATTTTTTTCGTTAACAGATTTAAACGTCAGAAGTTTTTTTTCGTTAACAGATTTAAACGTCAGATGTTTTTTTCCGTTAACAGATTCAAACGTCAGAAGTTTTTTTCGTTAACAGATTTAAACGTCAGAAGTTTTTTTCCGTTAACAGATTCAAACGTCAGAAGTTTTTTTTCGTTAACAGATTTAAGCTTCAGATGTTTTTTTTAACAGATTTAAACATCTGATTTTTTCGTTAACAGATTTAAACGTCAGATGTTTTTTTTCGTTAGCAGATTTAAATGTCAGATGTTTTTTTTCGTTAGCAGATTTAAACATCTGAATTTTTTTTTGTTAACAGATTTAAATGTCAGACGCTTTTTTCCATTAACAGATTTAAACGGCAGATTTTTTTTCGTTAAAAAATTTAAACATCGGATGTTTTTTTTTCGTTAAAAGATTTAAACGTTGGATGTTTGTTTTTCTCTGTTAAAAGTTTTAAAAATCAGATGTTTGTTTTTTCGTTAAGAGATTCAAATATTGTATGTTTTTTCCGTTTACAGATTTAAACGTCAGATGTTTTTTTTTTTTCGTTAACAGATTTAAACGTTGGTCGGTTTTGATCCATTAAGAGATATTTGGTTCCATTAGGACATTTTAACATTTTTAATATTTTAACAATTTAAATAAAATGTAGTTTAAAGAAGGCAAATAATGCTTTAATCTGGTCTGATTTGTGACGTTATTTCTGATTGTTTGTCCTCCAGCATCTGAACGGTTACCCGGCTCCATCCGCAGCTCCTCCCACCCCCGAGGTCTCAAACTCCCCGTCCAATGAGACTCCACCGGCGACACAGAGCGGGACGAACCCGACCGGACCGACCCAAACCCAGTCTCAGGACACCAGTGCATACATGCTGACTCCAAACGCTCCCTCGCTCTACGCTCACTCCTTAGGGCCCTTCGAGAAGCCTCCTCCCTACGCCTGCTGAAACACCTCTGACCCGTAAAGATCTACGTGACCATCGCCGCTAATTACCTCTGTAATCGTCAGTGTTTCTCGTAGCAAATGTGATCGATGTTGTTCTTTGGTAGTTTCCAAAACCATGTTTAACCCTCATCCTTCCCTCATGGGTCACCACGACCCGAAGCCCTAAAATTAGACTTTATTTTTTTTCCAGAAAGCTTATTTTATTTCATTTTGATATTATTTTTTTCTATTTTTTTGGATGCAATATTTTATTTATCTTTTTATTTATTATTTATTAATAAAATCTAGTAATTTAAGCACATTCCTCACATTCTTTCAACTTAAATTCAAAATAACTCACAATTTCATGCGTAACTCTTTTAATTGAGCTCTAAATATCTTCTATCAGGAGTCTGTGAGCTCTTGTGGAATATAATATTAACACATGATATTTCATGCCTTTAGATGGGCTTATATCTCTATATGCAGCAGAGGAGCTGTTCAGCTGGGTCCTAAAGCCTGTTTCTCTTCAGTACACACACACACACACATTATACAGTCATTTATTGGTAAAGTTTTAGCATTTGTAGGGTTTTCTATGTGGGCTGAAGCATTCCTAAGGGGTCAGATTGACCCAATTTGTTACTTTCAACCACAAAACTTCTCGAATTAGTGCTGTATTAGTGGTCCAAGTGTGACAAAAGTCCCAGGGTCTTGATCCCTTCGATGCACTCAATATTTAAAAAAATGTAAAAGAAAATGTCCAGGGAAGGATGAGTGTTAACTTCATGTTCCTTTGGTGGGATCTTCATAGTTTGATCCGTTGAGCCGTTTTAAACACTGTTGTATTGTGAAATGTGTTCGACTCTAGTCATAACTCAAGCGGACAACACAACGCTTCTGTCGTCTTCTCAGGGCAGATCAGATCGTCTGAAGAGAATTATAGTGTTCGTATTAACTAATGTAAATGATTAACTCTTTCCCTGCCACTGACTGAATTTTCCAGGGATCCGTGTTTTCACTGCTAATGTGACGTCACCAGTGACGTATGCAAAGCATTTTAGGAATCCGTGGCACAAACAGTGTACAAGATGCCGTCTATGCTGTATTGTAAACTGTAATTATCAATTACGCTGACTATTAGGGACAAGGAAATTGATTATTTGTCAAAATACTTGTCGATCGTTAATCTAGTAAGTGATTTAATCCACTGAACACTCTCTCAACAGCATAAGGTTTCTTTTTAGCCTCAAAAAACATTTACTCCAAGTCAAATTAAAATTATATAGTTGTTTATATCACTTGTGATGGTATTTTGTATAGATATGGCCAGACGTGTAGTTTACCAATAACATTAGAGCGACAGCACTACGAACGCCCGCGGCATCACAGTAGCCGAGCGACACACAGCTACAAGACGCTGGCGGTGTGACTGGCACACACACACACACACACACACACTCCAGCATTGCAATCTTGACAAGGATTCTGACTACATGCAAATAACAGAGCGATGAGAGTGGAATAGCATACATTTAAACGGCCCCACTTTTACAATCTCCAGGTCCTGGACCCACCCCACTTGGGCCTGCTGCAGCGACTTGAAGTTACTGAAAACTTTGTGTGTGTATCATGCTCTAACATTTAATATAGTTGTGTGTATATATGGGTGCTGGAAGTTGGGCAACAGGTTGACGTCTCCTGGCCAGAGTCACTCATAAGGATCCAGTCCTTTGATTCCCTTTATTTTCTCCTCATATCTCGTCTTTGCATTAGGATTAGCTCCGACCAGTGCTTGAAGTGGGAGAGAAAAGGGGTGCCGGTACTCTCTTGCATTGGCAAATCATGACATTTGACATTTCTACAGTGAAAAACAAAACTAGGAAATATTGCTGGTACAACAATTTATTGTTATTTATTAACAACATAAATGTATTTAAACAATTGTGTGTGCGTGCTGTTCTTTACAAATTCTCTTTTTAGAAGTTGGTCAGTAATAAACTTGATTCTTGAAGTTTGTTAAGATTGGAGGTATACAACAATTGCATGTAAATGGTAAACAACAACAAAACAAAAACAAACAGCTCTGATATTGTCTTTTCAGTCATACTTCGATATGTTTACAAGACAGCAAACATTAATAAAAAGTACACTCGGGTTTGATTTGGGCATGTGCTTGACTGTGGCTGTTACATAAACTAAAAGAAAGCTTTTATTCTGACTAGTTTGCTCGTTTTACTTATTAATAAACATAGTTTTACTGAATAATTAAGAGAAGTTTAAATGGCTAAATTTTGTATAAATATTCACACCCTCCTCTTCGGACAGTCAGAGGAACAATATTTGTCTCACACTGCCGAAGTAATAATGTTTGAAAGGCAGTTTCATTAAGCAAAATAAAAGATACAAGTTAGAAATACGATATTTAAATGTTACATTATATTGTTTTAGTACTACATCCATCCAGCGTGAACTGTGTGTGGCCCTGTCCCAATATCCGCACAGTTTGCGCCCTTGTGCCCCTCAATGCGCGTTCTCGCTAAGGGGTGCAAGACCGTAGGGTGTCCCAATCCTCTAGTAGTGTTCTCCAGGGGTGATCAAAAGGGCACTTAATGCACCCTTTCCGTAAGTGCGCATCAGACCTCGCTTTGCTATGGGATATTATTACCCAGAATCCTTGTAGGGGAGAGGTGCTGTTCGGGAGCAGAAACTCCGAAGATAAAGGAAGCCGGTGTGTGTGGTGACGTGTTTTTCAAAAATATTTGTGTTATTGGGTCACGAAATGTCGTTTTAAGAGTTTTTCAGACGAGAATATAGTTGTTTAAAGCTCAAATCTGTGGTTTATTTATAAAATAGCGCCTATTTTCTAAAATTGATCTGACGTTTTCGGAGTTCCAGGCGATCACCGGGCAGCGGGTGCTCAGCGCTCATGTTCCCCGCCTGCAACAGCCTTGCCCCGGCTAGTCATTCTTGCGTTTCCCGCAGGCTCTGTGTCTAGTGGTTAAACATGAGCTATAAATCGGCTTGTGTACATCAGACGGGCGATCTTTGGTCTCATTAATCTATGATTTGTTCCCTGGCAAATCGTTTTGGCTGAGGGGAAAAGTGAAGTTTCATAACTATATATTTAGGCTATTTAACTGTAACGTTGAAACGTATGTTTGACTGAATCTTTTATTTCTTGACTTGTATAGCTTCTTCCTACTTTTAAGCTACTTATACTTTAATAATGGCTATTCTTGGTCAACAAAACAAAAAGAGACAGGGCTGTATCATTTTATTTTATACAGCCTATGTTAGACTATTTTAATATAGCCTTTATAGTCTATATAAAATATATCACCAACAAGTCATGTTTTTTTTTCATGTATGGGAATTTCATATATCAATTTCCATACTAACAATTAACATTGCATTTCGAATCTCTGTGAACATGGTGGCAGTATAAGCTCAGGTAAACCTCAATCACATTTTATCTGAGCCAAAAACTGTTTTAATATTAATAACATTAACAGAAAGGTTGCTGGCTAAGAGTAAAAAAAAAGATGTTAATTTTTTCATTCAAAGGATTGTGTCATGTAATGTTACAGCTATTATAAGCATAACACACATTAGCCAGATGAACAGTGTTTGCTGATTACAACAGAATTGACGTAGCTTTTTGACGTGTGCAAAACTGTCCAGCTTCGGGCCCTTGCGCACTTTCTCTGCTAGGTGCACTTTCAACAAGTGTCCACTTTGAGGAAGGCCTTAGGGCGTAGTGTGGGTATTGGGACAGGGCCATAATTAAAGAGAATTGGCACTGGCTGGTTACTTCCGGTTTCTGGACTGGCTGCAGTAACGCGTCTCTGTCCATGCGGGGGCGCTCGCGGTCGAGTGCAGAATGAATGGGAGTCAATGGGGTTTCACCCCCAGAAATCCACTTTTCTCAGGATGTAATTTTTTGTCAAGTAATTTGAAAGTTACTTTCAAAAGGGAGGGCTAAAATAATACACTCAGCTGAAAACTGCATTTTTAAGTTCACTTATCTGTTCCAAAACGTGATGATGTCACACAATAGCAGGATGCTAGCGTGAGCCGACCAACAACAGCCTAACCTGTAAGAAATCAAAAGGACATAAGTACTCGTTCATTCGACTTTTGGCCTATAATCTATATTGAACTTGCGGAATCAACAATAAAATCTATGTTGATTTAACGACAAGCAGGTGAAAGAGACACATTTAGCCGTTTAGCCCCATAGACTCCCATTCATTCTGCTCTCGCCCGCGATCACCCCCAGTGGAATTATAATGGAACTGCAACCAAGATGATCCACAACGGGGCTAATAGGAAGTGCCGAGGCTCTCCGTTAGACGGGCTCTGATTTGACGCAAGGATGCTCGTCAGTTTCCAGTTGGTAAAACATATCAAAAATTAATTTCAAAGTTAACTATCCCTTTATAGTTCACTTTGAAATTAATTTTTGGTATGTTTTATCTTACCTCAAGGGCATCCAAGATGTAGGTGTTTTTGTTTCCACAGTATTTTCAATTTTGACATTTTTCAGTCAAACTGTTGTTGTCTATCAGTCATACACTGGAGGCTAAGGGGGTCCACCAAAGAGCATGCACAGAGAAGTCCAAATTAAACACGATTTAATGACTCGTGAATGTAAGTACACATTGATGACCTAAGACACGAAACGAGCGGTTTGTGTGAGAAAACCAACAGTATTTATATAGTTTTTACCTCTTGTTAACAGCTATATTGAACTGATCTGAATCAGATGCCCAACTGACATTAATTAAAATGTCATTAACCCCATTATGACTTTAGTCTTCTTCTTCTTTAGTCTTCTTTTTAGCTGTTGGATAAAATGTAGTCTTTTGTGTTGTAATGGTCTATACTAGCTTTTGTTACTGAATATGATCGTTTAATGTGATGTCCGTCCAATTAAAAGCCGAAGAGATCCGTATAGGTGGTGGTGACCGCCACAGGGGATGGCCTTGAGCACAAGAGCAGACGGAGACCCAGAGACACATATAAACCGGTGGTTTACCACAGGGCGTAGTCAGCAGTGTTCTGACTAAAATAAAGCATCAATATACAGTTACATCGCCCACGTCACACGCTTCTCTCTCTCTGTGTGTGTGTGTGTGTGTATAAAACACACGCTCCCTTCGCTTTCAACCGGTGTTATGATATTTGCATGCGGCTGGAGCTTGTAACAAAGTATTGTTTGTCTCAGAATGCTTTGTATATGCGTCAAAGTGTGATGATGGAAGTCTATCAGTCCGGCCATGCAAACGCTGCACGAGCCTCGGCGCTGTTGAAGCGGGCCACACACACCCGTACCTGAAGACAACAGCCGTCCTCCTCACTGCTGACTAACACCGGGAGATGAGGCATCCCGGATGAATTAGGAAAACACTTCAATGAGCTTAAGCCAAACAATTAGGCCAGTAAAGCCCACACGATCGAGGCCCAACAGCTCTAGCCCGGATAAGACCCGCTTCAGGGTCATTAAAACATCACCCAGAACTTCATTATCCTGCAGTAAGAGGCTCAGGGACAAATCTGATGTGTATACTGTGGCTGAAGTGGACACATTACATCAGATCCACTCTTTCTCTTCACAACCAAGATGAGATTTCAGTCACATCACTAAACCTGATGCTCTCGGGTCATTTTTGACCGATAAATGTTATGCTTTTTTTATTTATTTATGTTTTTTAATTCATCAGAATTGTACGAAACTTTGTTAAGGTTTTAGCTCTTGCTGTATGAACACAAACATGATTTGAAAAGGTTAAAAGGTCAAAAAGGCATTTCGCGCATTGGAAATGAGAGAGTTTCCTCTAGTGGAAGCGTTTGGTACTGCAGCCACACACACTCTCACTGAACGCTCATTTACAAAGTTGGAACACAACTTAGATTAATGGCTTTGATTTTATGATGTTAGTTTTTTTTAAGTTAACTTTTAAAAACTTTTTTCACTTCAGGAATAATCTGCCGAGTGTCGTCTTGGAGAAGAGATCAAACTTCAGTCTGTCGCTCTGAAGCGTTCAAGATTTAACACAGTTTAAGTTGAAAAATTAAATTTTCAGGATCAAAAAGTGAATAAATGAATTATAAATGCAGTGTGAATATAGTGTAAATAAATCCTCTAAAAATACTCAGTAATAAATAAAAAACATCATCAAACTAAAATATGGTACATTAATTTCATTGACGACAAAAGAGCACCAGATTATGGAGGACCAAACCTGCAATAAACGACTTGATAAAATAATTTATTTTCAATCAAATTTGTTTTGGATTATTTTTCCCCCTTATTCATTATTTTTTACTTTTATTCATTATTTTTCTGTTTTTATTTTTTATTTTTTATTCTTTGAAATTTAATTAATTTATTCTTTTATTTATTTTTCAATTTATTTAAATTTTTATTTATTAATTATTTATTTGTTTATTCATTTTTTATTTCTGCATGTAACTTTGGTCCAAAGATTTTGACGCGACGTTCTCGCTAAAGACCAAAGACGCGGTTGTATTGTGATTCCCCGCCCATTTCACGACGCAACCGCGCTGTCATCGAATCAGCACGCGATAAACCTTTCCAGACCCCCTCCCCCTTGCTCGTGTTTGAGATGTGTTGTCGCGGCGCGCGCTTCTCTCAGTTCGGTGAGTCACCGAGACCGAGAGAGGGAGGGAGAGAGAGAGAGAGAGAGAGACAGTGGCGGATAGCGAACGGTTAACGGTAAAGCGCTGGAGCTGCGAGTATGGCGGTCGAAGAGGAAGGTCTTCGGGTTTTTCAGAGTGTCAAAATAAAAATCGGTGAGTTCTGGCAAGAATGAAAGCGAGAGTTAATGCGCGAGACCATTCTAACCGAAATCACTCGGTCGCGCGCAGTGTGTGTGTCTATTGTGAGAATGTGTGGATTTTCATACAAATATACTCGAAATGAACGTGTAATAATCTCATTCTGCTGTTAGTGGAGATATATGTGGAGCATTTGATCGTATTACAATGTAAAAAATCTCATATATTTGTTTGAATGACGCCTCAGCTTAGTTTAAAGTCTTGACTGGACGCAAATAGCTGCACATCCAGATGCGCGAAAACACGATATTTCTCTGTGTCTTCATTCGTGTCTTAAACGTGTTTTTTCCTCCAGTATATAGACACAGATCGGGTCTGGTGTGTGAAGGATAACACATTTATGTTCAGATTTGTGATTTGTAATGTTTCTAAAACATGAACATGTCCAGTTTTCTTGTCGTGATTGAACGTTGTTTAATCAACGTTAAACGGTTTCGATACAACGCTCTTCTAACCGTATTTTTACTCACAATATTCTTTGAGCGTTTACTTGTAATTGAGATGGTTAACATTGACATTGATGTACACATGGCTTTAAATCGATGTTCTAAAATGTTGTTCTCAAAACGTTATTAGAACGTTATATGTGTGTTATTGGAACGTTTTTATCTTAACATGTACATGCATAACATTAGTGAAGGTTGTGGGAATGTTCCCTGTTAGTTGGTGTGACAGATGTGTGTGTGTGTGTCGTTCCAGATGTGGATGTTTAGAAGGAGCAGAACACTTTTAGCCCTCGACTCATAAATGATACTCATAAAAAGATGCATCTGAAATCATTTATACAGGCACTGGAACAAGTAAAACATGCATATGAAATCATTCTTTCCGACTGAAACTCCAGAATACATGTGATGGTCTTGCTGTACACACACATGTTCTCTGTGTTCTTCTCAGTTTGACTGTTGGCATGCGGTTTGACTGATGTATACATGATAAACCCCGAGAAGAAGATTTCTGTTTGACTGTGCATGACATTTCAAATTGTACATTTGTATTGCATAAGTACGGAATCCCATTTCTGCCACACAGGAAACAAAAACATGCTTATTTATGACATTAAAACTGGACAAAATGTCATATTATAAGATTAAAAGGTCAAAATTGTTACATACAAAGTCAAATTATCAGATAAAAAGTCCTAGTGTGCCTTTGTGCAGTAAAAATGTTGTCTTTAAATGATAATACTAAGTCACGATTATTAGATACAAAGTCATGTTTATGTGATGAAACATAATTATGACATTAAATGTTGAAATTTTGACTTAAAGGTCACAAAGTTACAATTATCAGATATAAAGTCAAATATTTATCTAAGATTTATGAGATGAAAGGTCAAAATTAAGTCTAATTTATGACTTCATATGCATAATTTCGACTTTTATGTCATAATTACGACTTTATCTCATAAATGACTTGTATGGCATAGTTTTATCTTTTTATGATGTTATTACGATTTACCGAAGCAGATTTACCTTGTGTGGCGGAAACGGGCTTCCATACCAAAGCGTGTGTGTGTGTGTGTGTGTGTGTGTGCATTCATTTGTGCATTGTGTGTGTGTGTTTATTTGTGCATTGTGTTTGTGTGCTGTTGTTCTCTTCCTTCATCTCTGCTGTTGCAGCACACACACATGCATGACTCGAGTGTGTGTGTGTGTGAGAGAGAGAGCTTCTGTCATTGAGTTGTTTTTGACTCAGATTAAAGCAGAACACACACACACACACAGTCTAATCTAATCTGTGTATGGCACAGTAAACGCGCCACTCCGCCAGGACACGTGTCGAACGCTTCTCTTCCATATGCAGCCGCACACATTCATACGAGACCTAGATATCACTTCCAACACAAACATCAGCTCTTAAACACAAGCAATGAACATAAAAGTTGACCATGCACAGTTTCTGACTAAATATAATGCAAACGCTGGCATTAAAAACAGAAATTATTATTATTAACACCCTACAGTGGGAATAAATTGTCCTTTACTGAACTCTAACTTTATCATACAATGCACTGTTGTTGAGATAGATATATATAGCAAGTCTCAACCGCTTGATTGTTTATATTGTCGCAAAATGTACTATATTATCACAGAACTCATGGTGATATTAATATAGGATAAACATTAACATCCTGATTTGAAACGACAAGTATTTTGAAAACATAAGTTTGACAATCACAAACGTAATTATATTATCACAGAAGTCTAATCTGCTAATTAAATGTGAACGTTGGACACATACACACATCAATAAATACACATGACTGTGAGAACAGGAGAAACCCACGTCGGCCGGCTCTCTGCAGCTCTGATTGCGAGGCGTTTCCTTCTCGCCTCTGTGTGGCGGTTTGGTATTTTTAACCCGATTGCTTCACGAGTTGCGCATGTTTTGGAGAAGTATCGGGCACTTTAACGTCTCTCTCTGCTAGTCAAAGTCGTCCAAAACTAAATGAATGGGTATGTAATGCAGATGCAGTTATATTGGCAGGAGATGATTCGTATCTGGATGAAAGCCAAAACCAATACTCGTCTAATATGTTGCAGAATTATCCAGGAACACGCTCACAAAATAAACGACTTTTTGTTGATTTTACGTTGTGTTCAGAATCACAGAAAACTAGAGGGACTGTGTTATAATATTAATATTAAATATAATATGAAGATTTCAGATGCAAAAGCCTTGAAATTTTCTTCTAGAATGATCATTTTTATCAAGCTTGTATATTTAAGTTCAGTGATTTCACTTAAATGGCAATGATAATTACCTATTCATTGTCATTTAAGTGAAATGACTGAACTTAAATATACAAGTTTGATAAAAATCATCATTAAAGAAGAAAATTTCAAATGGCATTTAGAGGCTTTTGCATCTGAACTCTTCATATATTAATGTAATATTAAAATAAGTGTTGATGACTAGTTTCACTGGTAAAGTGACCATGAAATGATATTTTTCTCTGAGCTGCTGTGAGTGAGTGGAGGCGGGGCTCATCGTAAATGAGGCGAGCTATTTTAAGACATGAAGGAAAAAGCGTTTAAATGTGTAATTTTGGTGATCAAAGATGAGTTTTAAGGGATAAAATGATTGACTACAGTCAGTGAACTAATCCTTTAAAAGCCTGGCGTCTCTTGTGCACAGGGCATTATGGGATGGGTGTTTTTCGGGGCGCTGCTGATAATAATTGTGTCACAGGCCGATGTGTCGACGGAAGGAACCGGACGCTCCCTGTTCATATATGGAGTTTCCCGACGGATCTCGTGTCTACAGGAAACGCTGAGGGCTTTTAGGGGTCAGGAAACAGGAAATGGTTTCACATCACTTCCTGCTTTGGCTGGATGATCTGCTCTGTGTTTTTCCATATTCCTGGGAAGCAGCGGGATAATGCAAACCAGATGTCAGTGCAGAATCATGAATTTCCTTCAGTCACATTTCAACTCAACTCGGTTTACTCTCTAAATTCTCTTGTGCATTTGCACTGAAGCAACAGCGGAGATTAAACAGCATGAACAGAACAGACTTTACGCATTGATGAAGATTGTGTTTGAATAAGAAATTAATGTATCAAATTCGCATTTTATTATATATATATAAACTGTGATGTAGTTAATCAGGTTAATTTCTTTTTTGTTTTGGCTAGTAGAAGTTCTGAATGGCCGTTGAGTGATAAAGTTCATTTCAAACCCTGTTCATGGTCATATTGTGAATGATTTATCAGTGATATTTGCGCTGCATGATTAATCTAATAATCACGCATATGGAAAAACAACATGCAACCGCTTGCGACATCATGCGTGCTATTGGTCAATGTTAACTTGTTGTCGATTATCTGTTTAGTTGTTATTTTAGGCCACTTTTGTTGGAGATGCACTTTTCTAAACTCTTGCCATTAGTTCACTCAGTCAGCTGGTTAATATACTGAAGGTTGTTGATAGATATATAGCTATAGATAGCATTTCTAGACGTTAGACCTTTAATGACACGCCAAAGTCAAAGTCGTCATGACAGTGGCGTTACACTGGTCGTTTCTCCTCTATTGTGTCGTATATCGAGAGAAACGCTTCTGGAACAAGAACACATGTGGGCGGGGCTTAATTGTGTCTTGGATGGTTGTGGTTTGCTATTGGCTGATCTCATGTGAGTGACAGGTTAAAGCCCCGCCCTCGTCATCAGAGAAGAGAAGAGATGCTGATTCAAGATTACACATCAATTTAACACAATAATGATTCAATAATTTAGAATAAACACTGCAATATTTCATACAGATTTGTGGGAATAGGGGAAGTGATGTCACAGACGGTAATTATGACTCACAGATTGAACTTTTATTCCAGGAATACCGCTGAAGAATGAAGTGGTTTTGAAGTATTTAGGAAAACTCAAAGTGTAACGAGTTTAATTAATGAGCTGGTTTCCTGTCTTTGTGTCATGCTAATCTGCCAGACGTTTATTTCATGTAAACCTCAACACACGTTTCCTGTTGACATAATCGAGCGCTCTCATTGGAATATCTGCGTCTGTTGATGGTAGATTCCCGCTTAGCCCGGGAATATCCGCATATTTCCACCTGCCTCGTGAGTTTCTGTCCTTGTTTCCACCTTCCACACTCGCGCAGGGCAAACAGACGCGCGTCCTTCAGAAGTTAACAGAGCACGTCCAATATATAACTCGTATACTGCCGGATTTATGGACCAGCAAAGTCATGATGGCCAGACTGGGGTCAGTTGGCTCACGCACTGGAATGTGCAAAGCGAGTTGTCTGAAAAATGAGTTTCATTTATTTTTTAAACGCATGTTTGAAGATGAATGTGTTCATTATGTTTGTCACAATTACTATGAATAATATAATATTAACCCTTTAAATGCATCAATGTACGTATATTGAGCCGTTAGCGACCCAGATCTATATTTATAATAATGTAAAATGTTATGGATGGATCTCTAACTGCTGCAAA